GAAAATGCAAAAGCATTTCCCAACACGCCTTCTATAAATTTCATCCACTCTTTACTAAATATAGACTGAGAAAAAAGTCGTTTGTATGTCTTTGTTTATACCGCGCTCTGCGGCTCACTTTCATTGATTTGGACGGTGTGTTTTGCTAACAGTTGAAAACCAAATGTAGATGATTTTATTTACAGGTTCAATGTACAGCTGCAGCTATAAAATAGCTATAAAATCATCCGAAGTGATATTGTTCTCAGAGGATATATTCTCCAAAAAAAAACCAGGGCTGCCATTAGCCAATGAGCTTGTTTGTTATATCTACAGTTATGTTCATACTTATGCAAAGCCGTGGTATTTCTGGACATAATATTTTGTCTCGCCGAATGAGTATATTGTATCCAGATTCAGATCCACATTTTCTATTCTCAAACTAACGCATTAAGAGGATTGTAGAGACTTTGTACCAGTGTGTGCCCCCTGAGTGCGTTTCTAGTTTTATTTTATTCCTCCTCATATATTCAGACTGTGCAGTGCACGGCTCACTGCGCAGTCTCTCTGTGGTTTCTGTGCTAGTGGACGGCAGGTACAGTCACTGTAAAATGGCACAGAAGAAAGTGGTTGTAGTTGGGTATATTACACCACTAAAAGAATACCACTCAGTTTGGTTCCCTGCCCCCATAAAAAGTTTATGGTCCCTGACTGAATCCGTTATTAACAAAATGGAATGTTAAACCTTGTACTTGGAGAGAAACCACCAACAAAATCCACTGTGACAGTCTCTGTAAGATGAGCCAGAAGAAAGCTTGAGGAAACTCTGAGGGATGTGAGATGTGAAAATATGAGATGTCTTTGCTCTCTTTGTTTTAAAGAAATAGAGAAAATGAGATGTATGGTGACAGTTTGGGTTGATTCTTGGGAGGTTTTTAATCACAGAAAAATATTTTATATGGAACGACTTTTAGGTTTCATTCTGTCTTTGAGCTGCGGCGTCTTTTGTATTTAGGAAATTCTTCCCTTCTGAGAAGTGGAATTTATGATTTGTAATTCTAATAATACCAGTGTTATCTCACTGATGCTAATTCCTCATCTTTTGGGAGCTGCTCGCCTATTTTTGTATACAAATACTAGATAAAGATAAAGATAAATAATCATGTAATGGATATGCTAATTTTCTTATTTAGTATTAAAACATCTTGCAATGTTTAAGAGGAACTGCACCCAGTCTAATAATCCTGTTTATCCTGACAACTAAAAGTCACAACGTGCTTTTTCCACATCCTGTTCAGCAGAGATGTAGCGCAGCACTTTATGATTATAGTTGTTTTGTGTTGTGTCTTCACATGTATGTTCTTGATCTCACAGATATGTTTGCTTGGGTTTAAATGTCCAATATCTCCACAGACCACTATAGTTGCCTTGCTCTGCCCTTCTATGGTGAAATGTGTCTACACAGACAGCATCCGTCTGTTGAAATGTTAAGAAGTTTCTGAGCTCAGATTACACGGGAGTCAATAAGACATTTGGTCGGACTTCTCTGAGATTTTAAGCTAGTTATTAAAAAAAACACAAGTCCTGTGAGAGAGTTACATTGGGAACCAACACCTCCATAATAAAAAATGCATCGTGGAACAAAGGCTCGGGGATCACAAGCTAGGAAGCTCGGAAGTGGTGCTGCTCTTTATGAACTCCAGTCACCAGCTCACTGTCATACCTGGTCTTACAGAACAAAAACACCACAGGCACACAGCTTCCTACCAGTATTTTTGGATCCCCTCAGAGTTCTCATGTCATCCACTGTTCCCGTGTACCTCCCTGCTGTAGCATGAAAGTACCACCTAGTCTTAGGATTTGCAGGAATCTGGCTGGCAGCCACCTCGTCTGTTGACCGTGTTGACTGCAAAGCAGCTGCTCAAAGCTGACTCAGGATTTCACAGCTTAAATTCTTCTCGCCGACTGCCTCTCGCCACTCACTCTTAAATTCATATCGAGCCTGTGTGTTTTCCGAGGCCTCCCCTGTAAGGCAGAAAATGGCCCGTGATGGTGTGACGTACAGTTTGGGATGGCATTGACCAGGAGGCTGAGGAAGGTGGAGGGCACGATGCTATTTCCATCCCAGTCTATCGGTGAAGGAGAGGTTGCCATTGAAGAGTTCAACTCTTCAGACAGAGAGAGAGAGAGAGAGAGAGAGAGAGAGGAGAGCTGGGGAGGGAGGGAAGAGGATAGAAAGAAAGGGAACGTGGGAGACAAAGATGGAGTGTTTGTGTGTGTGTGTGAGAGAGAGAGAGAGAGAGAGAGAGAGAGAGAGAGAGAGAGAGAGAGAGAGAGACAGGGAGGGGCAAGATGCAGAGAGACAGTGATAAGTTGACATGGGGGAAGTGAGATGTGACAAGTCGAGAGAAAGAGATGCTCAATCAGTGCTGTCAGGCTTTCTGGCAATCAGACGGAGTCGTTGGAGACTGCAGGCAGCGCTGTTGATGACAGGCTGCCCTGCTAATGACAGCTAGGCGTCCATGTTTTTCAGCGGCGCTGACTACAAAATCAATGGAGTCATTTGTGCACACCGCTAGAATGTTTTTCACATTTCGTGATTTTTATTGCATACGCCCGTGTTGAAAAGAGAGGACGCAAGATCATGTTAAAAGGTGTAAATATATAAACGATCTGAATATGCAGCACTTAAAATGGCTGCTTTCAATCTGTTGAACACATGCTCCTTGTCAAGACGAATAAAACAACAGCCGGAAGCTCTGTATTTCTTTCTCCAGGAGGAGACAAAAATAGAGGATTAAAGCAAAAACACCTCAGCTGTGATTGACACCTCTGGTGATTTGCAGTGTTGTTGTTTTTTGTGCTCGCAGCCATGGACACCACCAAGGACCCGTGCCAGAATGTGAAGTGCAGCCGCCATAAGGTGTGCGTCGCTCAGGGCTACCAGAGGGCCATGTGTGTCAATCGCAAGAAACTGGAGCAAAGGTAGGGTTGAGTCCTAAAGTCAGAGGGAGGGATATCACATTTATTTAGATAGATGGTTTTCAAAATAATATATAGCTGTGCTATACGTTTACTGGTATTTTATGTCATAATTTATTCTTCTGTCGTGATTAAACTTCAAACTTAGTTGCTTATAAGATTCAAATCTTTATGGCCATTATTTATCCTCATGCATGACTTGAAATGATGAGTCATGCTTCGACACAGGAAAGAGATGCTGGCTTAATGGGTACCACCTAATGTCAAGGGTACATACTTTATGAATGATTAATGCTTAATCCATGACTCATCATGATCTAATCTAATGCATGATGTATAATGAACTCCCATGGCTCAGTTTTAATTAATATCAAGCCACTATTACTTAGTTTAATTACTTTAAAACTACACGGATCATCAGTTTCTGAATTCATTTATTTAAGACTAAAATGAACAGGTCATCAAATCAGATGAAAGTGGAAAAAGTGCACCACATACAGCATGAATCAGCGACAGTATATTGTGTTTTTCTTTGTGCCAAATGTATCTCTGCATTGGGTCTCGCTTCATGCATTCATAAGTTGGCTAATTTATTTTGTTGTCAGGTCTATCATAGCATGACAATGACGTGCAAAGAACACACACAAGAAAACTAAATGTATTAGGTAACACGTCAATCTTATTGTCTGTCACTAAGCAACAGTGTTCTTACGTCTCAAACCACTCCGGTGTGGAGTACACTGTGTGCCCAACTCCCAAAAATAATACTGAACTGAACTTCCCATGCTGATAAGAGGGGCGCTTTAGAGGAGGTAGGTTGGGTTGAAACCATGACAGCTAAAGTAAATACAAAATACTTGCCAATGTGGTCATTTAATACAACGTAATGCTCCTCCCTTCACAACGATCCTTTAGTTTTTCTGTGTAAAGCGCACTAAAAATCACTTATCTAGTCCTTCACCCATTTCTTCCACTTTGACTGAAAAACAAATGAGCAGAGTTGCAGTCTGAAAAGAATTAATGAAGTGAATTATTACTACCTTCAATGTCTATCTGCTGCAACAGGCGTTTATCTTTTTCAACAAAGTGTTTCACTTACAGAGTCACTCCACAGATGAGAGAGACTGTGCCGAATAATGGGTAATAAGCACGAAACGCGAACCACACTAAACCATCCCAGCATCATTAAGTAGCAGCCTCAGAAGCCGTACCGCAAAGCGCTGTGCTCACTAAACATGAAGTCAATCAGACGAGAAGAAGCAAGTGGGATTTTTACAAAGCGGACCTTTCAAATATTAACAAGCAAATGCAGACAATTCTGTTTTTATTTACCCGAGATCAGAGATATCAGTCTCTCGGGTTTCTGTTGCCATCCCACCACGGTGAAAGTAAAATGAACATTTACTTAATCAACAGCGACATGTCTTCTCCAAATAGTGTCCCGTTAAATTAATTTTGTCGTCAGAAAATTGCATTCCTCTCAAACAAACAACCAGTATGTTCAGTTCTACAGTGTTTTTCTAAAGAAATGAGACATAAGTGTTTATTAGCTAGGCAGTGACTCAGCTGTCCTAGAGTCTGTCTGTATTTCATCTGAACCCTGTGGAAGACAGACATTATCTGATGCTCTGGAAAATCTACAGACCTCTCTGTCAACAGTTTACTCTGAAAATACTCTACGAAAGAAATAGTCACAATGAAAACTGTTGACAGTGTGTAACCGGATCAATATTTCTGGAAAGAGATACTTTTGAGCTTTTAGCCACTTTGATGTGGGAGAGGCAATGTTGGTTTGATTACCATGACATTTTGTACAAGAGTTATGGTCCCCAGAGGATGAATCCTATTCACTTTGATGATCCCCTTACTTTTTCTCTAGCAACAGTTAGTGAAATGTCTTCACACCTATTGGATGGATTGCCATGAAAGTCATCCACGTCTCCTTCACAATTGATTGTAATCATTTTGGTGATCCTAAGCCATCATCAGGTTGAACTCAAATGATGAAGAAATACCTGCAACACTTATGACATACCCATCAGCTAAGTCAGCATAGCATTTAGCAACACTGTGCGGAGCTCCTAGCATGCTCACTCTAGTGTTCTCGTTCAATGTAATGTTTCAGTGCTCCCATTCACCTCTGTTGTATAGGGGTTGGCATCTCACTAACAGATATCCTACAAATCTTGGAAAATATAACCTGTAAGTAAAAACAAATGTTTCCTCTGTAATTTGGTCTGACATTTGAACTTGTTCCCTTTTTCCTGTAATGATCAGAGTCAAACAGTCGGGGCAGCTGGAGGCTCAGGAAAACAGCTGCAAGCCCTGTCCTGTTGCTGCCTCCTCACCTGTATGTGGCTCTGATGGACACAACTACGCCTCTGAGGTAAAAGATTATATTCTGCAGCAGCATCTCGCTCTAAAAGCACTTGGATTTTTTATTTGCTTTACTACTGGAGTCTTCTAACCATAAAAACCCTGAAAAGAAATTGAAAGCGCCCGTGTCATCGTTTTAAATAACGAGAGGAGTCTAGTCAAGAGATGTTTCCTGCTGCGCTGACATATACGCGGACGCAGCAGGGCAGCACAGTTCATCACTGCTCGCGGGAGGACAAGTGCGCCGGCTCAACGTGGCCGTATGATTAATGACTGGCGGCGTTTTTAGCGGCATCACTGTACACCGGCCGCTGCCAGGACTCTTTATTGATTCATGTATAGTTTCTAATTTTGACCTTGCATGAGAAGGCTGGCGGAAAATGACAGCTCATTCTTGCTGCCTTTTCCCGAAGTGCAGTGTCTCATCTGAATGAGCAATCGCTCTTTTCCTGCAGTCACCTCCATAAATATTTTAACTGTCTCTTTCTCCTCACAGTGTAAGCTGGAGCAGCAGGCCTGCCTCACAGGCAAAGAGCTGAGCATCATGTGTGCTGGCTTCTGCCCCTGCGCCACAGCCTCCGTTACCCTCTCAAATACTGACACAAAACGCGGCAAGTGGCCTTTTCTTTACCTTCTTATATCTGTCTTAATTTTGGGATTCACACCTCCCTTTCTGCACGGCTGTCATCCCTTTAAAAAAAATAAAAATAAAGCTATGACGCGCCACACACAGCATGCTGTCAGTAGGAGAGGACTAATCAACCCAGTGTTCCACGTTTAGGATCAATACTCACAGATTTCAGAGATTACTCACTTTAACCCCATGTGGTTAAAGTGCCCTTTCAATCCTGTAGTGATTAATTATTTAGAGTGTACACTATCTATCATTGCAGCCAAACAGTATTGATTGTCCAAGCTCGTGAAAATGCCAATTGATCAAAAGGATGAAATGTTACTTCTGCTTTTCATCTAGTGCTGAGCCTGAGAATGAAAGTGGATTCCTATTGGATAATAGCAATTTCAGGCCTTAGAGTTAATTGATAATGTTTTCTTTGAGTGGCAGCTGATATACTTGGGAACGACAGCATGGACCTCGATAGCTTTACACATGAGTGAAACCTTTGATTCTCTTCACCGTACATCAGCAAAAGCAATAGGAGGCCTGTCTTTTTGGGAAGGTGAGTCAGATTGCTGTTAACTGTCTGCCAAGGTTTTGAATGCTGGGATTCCCCTTTCTTTTTTTTTTGGCTCCCTCAGAGAGCTGCACTGGCCAGGACCTGGCAGACTTGGGAGACCGCCTGAGAGACTGGTTCCAACTCCTTCATGGAAACGCGAAGCAGAATAACTCTGGCAAGCTCAGAGCTGGCACCGCTTCAGGTTAGAAAACTCACAAAGCGGTTTTATTCTCAAGCGTACAACTCAATTGTCTGCGCAAAGAAGTGTCGTCTAAACAGAAAGAAACTAAAGTGCAAAGCTAATTTCTTTTTTGCTGACAGTGCTGGACAAGAGCCTTGTAGCCAGCTGCAGGGACTCCATCGGCTGGATGTTCTCAAGGCTGGACACCAACAGTGACCTGTATCTGGACCAGGCTGAGCTGGCTGCTATTAACCTGGACAAGTACGAGGTCTGCATCCGACCCTTCTTCAACTCCTGTGACAGCTACAAGGATGGGAAGGTCTCTACAGCAGAGTGGTGCCTCTGCTTTTGGAGAGAAAGTGAGTGAAGGGATCTCGACCAGAGAGCAGCGTCTATGTTGGGTCAAATCTCTAAATGGGTGAAATAATATCAAGGTTACATCACAGGGAAATAGAGGCTATGTAATGATGTCACTTAAACGAGTAGAAACATGTTATTTTGTGACTTTTAGGGGTGCTGGTATATTTTGGGGGAGAGAGCTAGACTAGCCTTTTCTCCATGCTTCTAATCTTTATTCTAAGCTAATCGCCTGCTGGCTCAAACTCCCCGCAAGAAAGCGAATAAGCGTGTTTTCAAAAATGTCAATTTTTGACCAAGTCTGAAAGCCTACCGGCTTTAATTTCAGGATTGCAGGATTTTTTTTTCAGCCGAATCAACTTCTTCAAAAGCACATTCTGGTTGTCCGATTCTTCTCTTTATTAAACCTTCGGCGGTTTGTACAAACCTATGGTTCAATTCTCCATCCTTTCTATTATCCATAACTGCTTAACCAGGTCTGACAATATTCCAAGACATGATGAGCAGTCCTCACATTCTCCTGCTGAGAACAATCTGGACCTGTTTTATCTGAGTCATCTGACAGTTTGCCATCTGGCAAATAGAAAGTCCTTCAGACGTACCTTACCTGATTCAGGGTTCCCTTGGGCTAAAAAGACTCCTCCGTCAGCTTGACTGCTTCCTCCTCCACTTCTGTTCACTTGTGGTTTCCTTTGTTTGCGCCCATGACTTTCTGGTCACAACTCGGCTCTCGTTCCAACTCAAACAGTCACAGATGCATCATTGATCTCTGGCCTCAGCTGTTCTGGTACATTTATGAACTGGTTCTGGAACACGGTGTTCCCGATGGAGTTGATGATTATCACAAGAAGTCCAATAACAAAGCATCATTATGTTCAGATCAGGCAGACTGTTCACTTCAATCAACCCCCTCCTGGTTTCTGTGGCATGTGATCATGTGGGTGTTGAGGTGTTTCCCCCGTGTAACATGCAGTCACATAGTTGCAACTACAGAGCATTCATAAAGTGTTAAGACCTCCACCTTTTGTTATGTTGCAGCCTTAAAAACTGGATTTTAGAAATGTCTAAAATATCACATTGACATTGACGTGGTGTCCACCTGCGATAGATTCAATTGATTGGTCATGATTTGGAAAGGCACACACACACCTGTCTGTATAATGTCTTACAACGGTACTTAGTGAGCTTTCATGAGGTCATATAATATCCCCACATCTCATAGTTGAAATGCCCTTGAATATTGAATAGTTTTAATGATTATTATTCTGACAAAGAACTTAAATTCTCTTTCTTTTCAAACTCTTTTTCGAGGAATAAAAGCTGAAAGCAGATTAACCGAGAAATGTCAGTTCAAATCATAATATTAACCTAAAAACCACTGGTGTGCTTGAATAATCATGTACAAAAGCTTACTCTGACAGCCATGTTCTTGACATTTTATGTTTAGTTCAGGTGTCTCCATGGATGTTACCTTCGCTCTCGGTGCTATTTCAGCTTTGCTCATTTGAAACATTTGCACCATTTGACCTTTACTAAACAAATACAGGATATTTCTGGCACTAACATCATTTGCATGTTGATTGCTCCATTGATCAGGCATTTAACCCTGCATGCCATAGATTACACCAACTCCCTAATCCATTTTTCATTACAAGCTGGTGGTATTTATAAACCATTTAGTGATAATGGTTTTATGATAATGATTTGGAACAGGACGTCAGAAATGATTACAAACTGTTATTTTATCAATTATTGATAGTTTCTATTTCTATCTATTCTAGAGCTTCAGCTCATTTTTCATGTCATTCTCAGGCTACATCCATATGTTCTTTCACCTAAGCTCTCCACGATCAATCAGGCTCAAAGGGAATGAAATACAAGACTTCTTAAACAAATCAATATGTGCAAAGAAAATTATGTAATTATGAAGAGCATTGATTGAGTTTGGGGATAGCAGTTTTAGGTATCGTCTGTCATCGCTCTTCTTGTTTGATTCTCACAGAGCCGCCGTGCCTCGCTGAGCTGGAGAGGATCCAAGTGCAGGAGGCGGCCAAGAAGAAGCCCGGTAAGTTTATCATTGGTCATTTCAACAGTACTGTGAAATTCAAGATATATTTGACTGGCGATTTTAAAACACCTCACTTGCGTAGGGACACCTTTTGGACAGAATTTGACCACTGACACACTTCAGATCCTCAGTCACACAACGCTATGTAGTGTAGCCATGAAGTGTCGCTGGGTGCACTTGTGTATTAAGGCCTGGAGGAGGCTCATTTAAGAGATCACAAGCTCACACCTCGGATTAGGTCAGCGGGGGGGGGGAATTAGAGGGCAGCGATGGCTTTAGGAAAGAGCAAGGCTGACTTGCCCGCTTAGCTCCCTGAGAAACCCCATGCTACAGTTTCTGCTTTTTACTGCTGCTTTCTATTTCTACTGTCGTTCCAAATCCCAGAGAAACGTTCTTCCATCCCTGAGTTCCTCTTGTCTCGTTGTATCGTTGCTTTGTGTTTTTGCGGTAGTGGAGGGCGGGGTTCGTTCTCGAACTTCTCTTTGGGATTGACAAGATTCTCCTGAGGGAGGCTGAAACAGTGGAGCTCTGTCACCGAGGCTGTGACTACATTTTTACATGCCACTCTCGCAGCGTAACGAAACACTACGCCAACATACTGGATAAAAATCACCAGCATATGCATGCTCGTGTAAAACAAACAGGGAGGCTTTCACTGTCCAAAAATCTGCCTCTCCATTCTGACTGACGGTTTTAATCACAGGTTCACTAAGGCGTGCTGGCATTCTTGTTTATGCTGCGCTCATCTATTTGTGCTAAGGGTATGAATATTTAACAGCGAGGCACGTGTGTGTGTGTGTGTGTGTGCGCGCGCTCGTCCTTGCAGGAGTGTACATTCCCAGCTGCGATGAGGACGGCTACTACAGGAAAGTTCAGTGTGACCAGAGCCGAGGGGAGTGCTGGTGCGTCGACCAGGATGGAGGAGAGATGATGGGCACCAGAATCCACGGCAACCCTGACTGCGGTAAGGGGGGGCGGGGCTTCATCATGCTTTAGCCGTACAGTGTGTGGGATTTGGTTGCATCTTATGATGAGGTTGCAGATTGCAACCAACTGAAAACCCCTGCACACTCCCTTTCCAAGACTGAGGTAACGTGACCCGCCAAGTGCAAAACAGGGGTAACACCGTTCACCTGGCTCAAAGGCCATCCTTATCATGATAACACTACTTTAGGAGCTACAGGAGTCAGGCGGCAGCTGGCGGTATACCACGGTTTTTCACTCTGCGGCTCACGTTATCGCAGTTTCTCAAGCATGTCGAACTACGGTGGCCTTCAGGTAATGAACGTGAAAGGCTCTCAGTGTTTGGTTTGTCCGCTCTGGGCTACTACAGAAAAATGTTGCGGACTCCGTGAAGATGACCTGCTACCCGTGTAGTTATGGACGGCTCATTCTAAGCTAACGAAAACACAACAATTCTTAGTTTAAGGTGATTATACACCAATGATTTATGAATATTATATTCCATTTATGATGCCCTCGAAATGCTATGCACTGGCCCTTTAATACAAACTCCACGTATTAATCCTTTTCCAGATGAAGCAGCGGGATATTCTGGAGATTTGGGGAGTGGAGTGGGATGGGAGGATGAAGAGGAGAAGGAGGCAGAGGACACCGGAGAGGAGGAGGAAGAGGAGGAGGGCGAGGCAGACGATGGAGGATACATCTGGTAGAATTGACTGACCCCACGCGGAGAGCCGTGTCACAGCCACTGGCCTGAAAATCTACAGGGATGGCTCTCTCTTCAAAGCAAAAGATTTTGGGATCGGACCTGGGAGGCATGGAGTTGTGTATCATCCTGGTGGGATATGTGGGTCTGGTCAGGTCCAGGGATGAGACAGATGACCAGTTTTTGTCTTAGATATGTGTAAGTGCTTCATTCTCTCGTCTCTGTTTTTTGAGCGACAGAGCTTTTTGTTTTGCCGTCCTGAAAAGCAGGACCCACTGACTACTGCACCATAGGTAGCTAAAGTCCATCAGAATTCCTATCTTGTCCAACCGCCATCTATGCATATAGAGATTACCAGTAATTTTGTATTGTGTGAACAATTGCTTGAGTATTAGAGTCGCTGTCCCACTGGAATGACTAGAGATCAGAATTGAAATAGTCATTTTGGGAAACATGCTTGTTTGCTCTCTTGCAAAGTTTTATGAGAAACTCGATACCACTCTTGTGTAGAATATAAAGCTAGAGCCAGGAGACGGTTACCTGAGCTTAGCATAAAGAAACAGGGGAACAGTTGTCTCTGTCGGAAGTAAAAAAGAACAACAATCGGACCTACCAAAACCTCCAAATCATACTAGATAACATCTTTTATCTTGTTTGTTCAATCAGTAAAAAAAAAAACACAGTACAACAACGACATTTTGCATTATTATGAAGACTATCCAGGAAGTCATTCAAATTCAAATTCTTTATGCAGTTTTTGTACGGATTAAGCAAACAAAACTGCTTCAGGTTTCAGTCTTTAGTGAATGATTATGTCACTGTTGTGTTCACAGCTGGTTTCTGCCGCCTTCAAGTGGCCAAATACATGAGCTAAGCTAACCTCTCAGTCGTAGCTTCATATTTACCGTACACACAAGAGACTTCTCATCTACCTCGAAATAGATAGCAAATAAGCTTATTTCCCAAAATATCAAACTATTTCATTTAAGTTCAGTGTAATGTGGTTATGTGTGTTTCAGGTTGCCACGGTTTTAAGCTACTTTTATGATAATGGTGCACCACAGCTCATAGCAGTTTTTAAATCTTACGTGGATGCACACAACTATAAAGGACCTACATTTCCAGTTGGATGACTTTTATTGAAAACCTGTAGAATGTACTATAGCGGCCCAAACTACAGTAGAAACCACTAGTCGCTGTCCTCTGCTAACGCTGAAATCATGTCAAAGAATGTGCCACAACTATGTTTTATTCTGAGTTTGCAACTGGAAAAACTGTATTTTGTGTTTTTAAAAAAAAGAAATGTGTGCATTACTTGAAGTTCTGTGTGTATACTTGAATTCACATTATCTTTTTCTATGATAATATTGTTGCCATGTCTTCATTCATGCTATTGGTAGGCCAGATGTTTGGTTGTTTGTAGTATTGCATGTTAGTGAATAAGAATGTACTTCTAGGCTGAGCACTTTACTAATAAAGGCACTGGAGCCAAACTGTGTGTTGACTTCAATCTTTTCCAGCTATTAGCAGAGATAAATTAGGTTGACTTTGTGCCTACTGTGCCACCAAGTCGCTCATCATCTTCCTTTGTATTTAAGGATGAGTATTTTTACAATGAAGCTGCAAGATCATTAAAGAAGGGACCACTGAGCTGAGGTGCATGTGGGGAAATTAAATGAATTTCTTAAGCTAAAGGCAGCTTGATTGTCCTTGCTGCAGGAAGGTGCACAGGAGAGAGTATCACCGACTTACCTCAGCAGATCAATATTTTCAAATTCAGCTGGTGTGCTAAAAAAAACGATTTTGAGCATAAATGAACTGACTCTATTTTTGGTATCACTCCAGCCAACCTTGCATGGAGTATTTTGCTTATCAAACCCAAGCTGGGTGTGTAAAGATGAATATTTTGGAGAATTTAACGACTTTCTCCTGACCTTTGGATCCTCCACCTGGTGTGTAAAGCACCAATTACTGAAGCTCATTACAGATAAGGCCAGTTACAGCCCACAATTACATGTGATTATGTTTAACAAAGCATTAAATAAAGACAATTTAATCATCTACGATCATGTGGCCTGCAGTGGAATAAAAGGGAGAAGTTGTAAGCACACAGTCTGTAGTTGTAAGCTGCAAAGTTGAGTCTCAGTTGAGTCTCTGACAAGCACATAGGGATATTTGCTTGAAATATTATGGTGTTCATCTGCCACCTCATGCTAGAAGACCAAATTACAGCAGAGTGGTTGCCAAATGGCGTAAATGACCACAACGTCAACAACAACACTGCACAGAATGGATCTGTGCCAGTTTACTTAATTGCATTTCGAACTCCTACAGTCACCGGTTGAAGTCTGGGATTAGAATTCTTAAATTAAAAGAACATGAGATATTTCCAGCAGTTAAATCTTAAAAATCAAATCAAACGCTGACAGGCAGCCAGTGAAGGGCAGCAGGGATTGGGCGAAATGAGTCACTTCTTACGCGGGGTGTTAAAAGCCTGAAAGCAGCACTCTGCAATAGCTGCAGTTTACTGATATGACAATAAAGCGATCACAACAATTAAGAGATTAAAACATTAACGAATTTCTCCACGTCTGAGAATGAAAGGAAAATGTTAGTGATATGTCGAAACATTTGCTCAATAATGGCATACCCAAAATGAATAGTGTATCTCTGCAGCTACAAGGTATATTTGAATAATCTACAAAGGTAACACTTGTGAGATTTCTGCAGAGATGTAAGCATACGTCTATATGTGACTAGGTCAGAGTGAATGAATATAGAAACCTCTAACAACCCATATTACAGCCTCTGAATATTACCTTGATTGATGCAAGTGAAGTGAAGCAGAGCCATTTGGGTTCAATCTCTGTCATTTGAAGTTTTCTTAGGGAACGATAAAACTCATTTAATTTAATTAACATGTCGCTTTAGGTATTTCCTCAAACTAAATACAACTGTTTTTGGCTTTGTCTTGAAAAACCCATCAATCAGACCTCTATTCATGTTCCCGTTCAAAGTAAACCATAACGTCGGTCTATTTGACCAGCTAGTTGAAGCTTAATGCCTTTGGAATGTGTGCAGTATCACAATTAGTCCACTAGATGGAGACATATACCGTGTTTTCAGATGGAAGGCTGTTCGATGCTGCTAATGCTGCTCTACGCTATGCTAATATATACAGACAGCTGGAATCAATCAGTGTTAATATGCACATGGACACAACTTTTGTTCCCAAATCAGCAAAGGTAAGACATAATATGGTCATAGCTTTATAAAGTGTATTTTTTTTTCTCTTAATCGGCTGCTGATTTAGTGACTTATAGTCTTGGAATCTGTGGAGGTTCATGCCATGCAGTTTGTGTGGGTAGCTAGCATAAAGTAGCAAAATTGCTAGCACCTTCAATGCACACAAAGCTCGATTTTGCTGTGTGCACATTTAGTTTTTAGAATTGTGTTTTGTTCAGGTAAAACCAGTTATCTAAAGTGGCAAGCTTAGAATTTATTCAAACCCCTTAGGCGACAAAACGCCGCCCTAAATATACAAATTAGCTTAACAAGGAATACAAGTGTGTGAAAAAATTGACAAAAATAACACATGGCCAGTTGAATCCAAAAAACAAGTTGGTTTTATTACAACATCATCACATAGATCAAACCATATGTCAGCATGTTGTCATTCAAGTTGAAACTATTTGCACAGATAATCGCCGCAAATATTTCAAGTTAATCAGCTATAAATAACTTCAGTGCTTTATTAGCGTCGGCTTATAGGCCGCAGCTGTACAAACATTTACATCTGTATTATACATCATTTACAGGAGTTCAGCGACTGGTAAAGAACACTGTTGAAAGGGAAAGCGGTTTGTTTACATGTGTTCTGTATCTCAGTAAACACTCAAAATTCCCTGTATAAAATCATATGTATGTTCTCTTTTATCTCAGTCACGAACATCCCTGCATATTTTAATGGGCAGAATATTTCAAATGTTGCTCTGTAAACACGGGACGCAGGAAACAGTACATGGAGAACAATGATCACTATAATCTATCATTGTATAAATGTATGCATGTTTACATGTACAGACTCAAACATCCAGAATACGATTTGAATATTAATTTACAGGTCAGCATATGTTAACAGCAAGTGCACCTTCATATCTTTTCAAATAGTCAAAAAGTGCAATACCTGCAGCACTTCAACCCTGTTGCACAGCCTGCATGCTGATTACAGGCACATTGATTGCTCAGAGTATGGATTAGAGCAGAATAAATAACAAAAAATAAATGTGTTTGAGTTGAATTAACTCAGAACTACATATATTCTGTCTTGCTCTCAAATACAGAGGAGTAAGATTGTTTCTGTTACAGTACAGTTGGTCATTCGATTTTATTGCTTCCCGACATTTTAAGGGCAATTAGTTATTACAGATATCATTGATATAATAAAGCAAGGGCAGCCATTGAACGTCATGAACATCTTATCCTTGAGTTCTGTACTGAACACCCCAAAGTCAAAGAAAATAAAGACTTATTTCAGTCTAACGCTCTTCAAATTATATGGGTCAACGTGCATAGGAACATTTGCAAAAACAAACGAGCCAATCCCATCGAGACACTGAAAGGGAGAAGCAAATGATTCACAGCACACTCATCAGTGAGCTGCTTAGTTTAACTCAGTTCACTCATCATCGTTGCCTTTATTTATGCGACGTGCTGTCTCTTCTCCTCGTTAGCTTTCTAAAGGGGATTAGATGTTATTGTGGCTCGGTGCTCAGCGTGGAAGATATCTATTGTTGAAGTCCAATCTCTCTCTCTCCCCGCTAACCCCGAAGTGATTAGCGTACATCTTTGGCTATATGCTTTGAAGGCAGTGGCTGCGTATCATTAGATTAAACTAATAAAATAATCTTCTGTATTTAGTTATATATATTAAAATCTAAACTTAATACGACATCAGACGACCCAACACAATCACCACGGAGTTCTTCATTTTCATCACTTGCTTCCTAAAGAATTTTAACTACAACAGTTGGTCTATTCCATATTAAATAATGCTACACTGACGTATACGTATCTACATTCTTGCATAATGCATGTCTGCCTGTGAATTATAATGAGGTATGATGTAACCCAATTAACATGCCATGGAGTTAGACAACTCAGTTAATTCTCACATGGATAACACGGGTAGGACAGTCCACCATGAACCACTTTAAAAGTTTGCATAGAAACCTTCAAATCCTGAATAAAGTGTTGAAAAGAATATGCTCTTAAAGTTTGAAATGTGGGCTGCCTGACACTGGCAAAGAGGCAAAGCGTCTTTGTCATGCTCTCGTGAAAATGTGTCAAGAAAATCCCTTCTGGTTGAGCTTCAGTCCTGCGTCAGTCGATGTACTGTGATAACCATCGAAAACCTTCCCCGTAGCCTTGTTTTTTCAACACGCTGCACATGAAAATCTCCAGCGGCCGGGCGTTCAGCTCCTTCAAAGACACATTTCCCTGATAAGAAATAGAGACAGATGAGGATAACGCTCGTTAGGCACCAGGACATGTGTTCACGCGCAGATGGAGAGATCATGTTAGTTCTGTGAATACAAAGACAGGGTCTACGACAAGCCTACCTTTCCGGTGACTTGACCATCGAGAGCAAAAGCTCCCCTCAGCCCTCCTTCACTGATGGCCTCGGGCCGGTCAATTTTATTACCCAACACCAACACTGGTACATTGACTATGGTCTCGTCTCCTAGGAGAGCCTGGGAATACAACAGCGGGCACGATCATCATCAATCTACAGTTAAGAGTCAGCACTGCTCGGTGGAAACAGCTTGTTACTGCGATGTTTGATCTTACATCCAGCTCAGTCTTAGATTCTGAGAGTCTGTCGTGATCCGCGCAGTCCACCAGGAAGACGACTCCATTCACAGCCGGCAGGTAGTTCTTCCACACTCTTCGAGCTGTCATCGAAGAGAGAACAGTTTGTCAATCTGATTGGGTAGTATATTTTCAGCGACACATGCGCAACCTCTACACACAGGCACTTCCTGCTTTTAGTTTACCATTCAAATGTGGTCAATGTTGGAGGCTCAGTGGTTCCATCTGAGCTGATTTGAAATGCTGTTTCATGTCAGGGGCAACAGAGACACCATGTGGCAGCCCTGAGAACTGTGATTGGTCAACTCCTGATTTCTCCATAATGTTTCTGATGTCAGTAAAGATGACTGTAATACTATTTCCAGTGTCAACCCTCTCCTCCCTGCAATTTTTGTTCTTTCATCACAAAATCTATGAAATTATTTAAACACGACTGCTTCTTCTGTGGTTAAAAAGAGACGGTCTGATAATGTAGGACACATCCATGTAGTTTTGAGGTGGCACTATGTCCATCGACAGACTATTTCTATATAGTCATTATTCTCAAAAGTGGAGAAAGATCTCACCTTGTACATGTCCCCCCAGATCAAATGTAGTAAATGTCATCCCACCAATTGAGAGCTCTTCAGAAGCTTTGAGAAGAAAAAGAAAATAAATGTGTTATTGCTAGTGAGTTTAGGCCTGCACAGTGAGGACAACAACACTGGAAATCGTAGTAAAACTCATGTCAACTTGGCACACTACACTACAGTCTCTCCTTACTTGGATGCAGTGTTGGCACATGTTGGCCAAGTCGGTCGTCTTTTAACATGTGTAGGAGCGTTGTTTTACCAGCATTGTCCAGGCCCAGGAAAACCAGCTTCCCAGACTTTTTGTACAGACCTGGAAGATATCATTCACAAGTGTATCAGAAATGACCTATAAATTCCATTGGTGAAATCCAGGTCCAGGTGCCAAACTGCACACCGCACTTACCTAACAACTGTAAAACACTACTAAACCCCCTGTAGATCCAGTCGAATAAAAAGGACATCTTGACGTTCTTTGACTGAAACAAGAAAAAGGTCAGATTACTATCACATCAAACTTCTCATGCCAGAAAAATAGAAACGCTTGTCTTGACATTGCATATTTCCTGCTGCTTATACTGTATGTAAATAAGGTGGACAAAATATTAGAAACACCTATTCAACTTAACAAAAATGTGCCAGAGAATTGGGTAGTTTATACAAGAGCTGGTCATATTTACATGAGGTAGTGTTTATTTGCAGAACAATAACACTGTTTGCACAGCAGACATTTTGGCAGGAACATCACAGGTGTAATTGATAGCATTAAAAACACTTGATGGAACTGAGCCATTGTTAACGACTCTTTTAACCTGTTCTCTACCAGCTTTGACGAGTCAACATGTCTGCTGTAGAAAAGGTCTGTCATTGCTTATCATTACATCACACTGGTGTTGTTAATATCCTGGTCATATATATATATATGCGACATGTCACCTGCACCCACGCGTAGCAGCAGGTGGCTAGCTACCTTTAGGTATGACGTAACTTTAAATCTTGACGTTGATGTTCACAAAAAGTCATGGATCAATTTAGAGATCAAACTTAGCTCGTGGACCCTGTCTTAGCTAGTTAGCGTTAGCATGTTAGCTTAGCGTTAAACCTCTGATACTTTCTAGAATCTGATGTCACGTGAGCGTCAAGGCAACGTTTACCGATTGTGCGCAAAAAAAAAACCCATTATGAACCGATGTGAACCGCGCTATACGTTTTTATTTACGTCAACATTCTAACGTTAGCGTACTTACCCCTCAGCCCTCACCAGCAGTAGTATTGGTGGTCTCCTTGGAAACAGTAATTCGGATTTCCGCTTTTTCTTCTTCGTGTGTTAGAATTCTACGTTTGGTACGCAGTGTGATGCGTTAGCGCCCCCATCAGGCTTTTCGGTGAACAGAGGGTCTACCCAAGTTTTTTTTTGAAACAAACATACATACATACAAAGAGGGGTTGCCATATTTTGAAAAGTTGAACCGTAGACCCACGTAGTGTGCATTTATTCTTTTCTGATTTACCAAAATGAAGAACATCTCTGATCCAAGCCTTGTGGAGGAGAGGATGACTTCCAACGAAGTAGCCTAATAGCAGTCATCTAGAACAGCAACTGGTTGACTTGTCACTGTGAAGTCCACCAATTGGCCTACCAGTGATGAGGGAATTTTATTCAGATCCTTTACTTAAGTAAAAGTACTAATGCCACGCTGTTAAAGTCAAGTAAGTCCTGCATTGAAGTTATTTACTTAAAATTATGTAAGTATAATGAGAAAAATCTACTTACGGCATTAAAAGTATTCAATGCCTAAAAATGGCCCCTATGACTGTTGTACATACATCACTAGATTATTATGCATTAATGTAAAAGCAGGATTTTAATGTTGTACTAAATTGAGATGGAGCACATTTTCTAATATTTTGTATAGAATTGCAACTAATCATTATTTTCATTCGATTCATATCATTATTACTTGATTAATTATGGTAGCACAATAGATGAAAAACTCATGTAGAGCAAATAGTTAAAACAGGTCATCGTCAAAAATCACAGCAGGTTTGATATCAGCAGGAAAACAGTTCATGTTTTTATCCAACAACACTAACCACCCTGTGAAGGCCTCTAGTGCTTATTGAAGCATAATGTTTAATTGCATCCTACAGAAGCATCCCACGAGGCGTATCCACTTACATCCAAATACTTAATAACCAATCGCTTGTATAATTCATTAGCTATATTATAGTATTTATTGGAATTGCCCATATAGGCAGTAGTTATGTCCACATTAATTATTAGATTGAGTACTGCACAGAAACGGGTTATGTGTCTTAATTTAAATATTCTCTCCAAGTATTTCCAATAGGACACCATTGTCCACTTTAGATCCATATTCTGGTGGTAAACTCAAGTTTATGTGATAATGACAATATGTAGAGGTGACAATAAAATCAACACAATACCCAATACCTTGGGGTTCAGTGTAGTTTATTGTAATGTTTGGTCAAGCCTGAGATTATAGATGACTATCTGATATCTTAATTGTAATATACTGTCACAATCGCACAACAAGCAGGTTTACACAGCATCAGACATCCCAAGTGTGAACAAAGAAGCGAGTAAATGTGAGATGAAGTATAAATCCAATCCATCCAGTTCATGTACTGGCTCTGATGTGTTGAAATCAGATGAAGGGAGGAGGAAGTGAAGGAGGTTTTCAGCCCAGGATTCATCCTCTTACTTCTCATAGTAGAACCAAGTGTCGACTGAGAAACAAAATCAAGCTTTTTTTTTATTTCCTTGATTTAAAAACAGAGTATAGCTGCAATAAAACAAATATTACAAACACCCACCTGAACTTGGAATTGGATCTTCGGCTCCAAAAGCACTTGCCTGTAAGAGTTATTGGTGTTATTGTTGCTCATCGGATGCACCTTGGAGGTCACGAGGAACACGCGTGTGCAGCTTAGATATTTCGGACTATTGATCCTCTCCTTTTGTCTGAAGGCTTTGTGTGTTACCAGGTTAAACAGCACGTGTTTATCGCCATCATCTCTAGTCTCATTAAGGAAGGGATCAAGCATGGTTACTTGCATTTGAAAATGAAGACAGACTTACAGACTTAACCACAGCTTCTGCGTCCCCAGCGGAGCAGCAGAACGGACTCTCTGAGACACTGGTGTTCATGCTGATTCAAGAAAGAGATGAGACAAAAGAATATTATTTTAGAAACGCATGTATTTACAGTGTCACAATTTCATCTGCAGTAAGAAGGTAAGAAACAGTCCAATAACTCAGCAGTATATGATATGTTGTCCAACAGAATTCTAATTTAGTTAACTCAGGGTTCTATCAACTTTAACACAGCGCTTGATAATTACCTCATGGATGTTATGGCAGGAAATATCAATAATAACACAAAACAAATGTCATTTAGCCTACTATATACTGTCTGCATAATGTCAGTGCTCACCAGTTTAACTCGCCAGCATCGGTCCTCTTAGAAATCAGTGCCTTCCAAAACTCGTTGGTGCTCTTTACTGTTTTAATGGCAAAGTCCTGGAAAACACAATTTATATGAATTGTTAATATATAGTTGTTCATTCATTTTTAAAAAAAACTGACAAGTTACAGATACAAACACTGTTAAATCTATAAAGTGTAATAACATCACATTTTTAAACTACAGCACTAATACTGTGAATACAAGTTTAAATGCTGTACCCTGTCCTTGAACTCTTCGTTGAAAGCAAACTGGTTTTCAGGTTTCCCATCTGGGACTTTGTATCTTTTGAACCAATCAACAGTTGCCTCCAGGTATCCAGGCTTAAGCCGTCTTACATCATCAATATCTGCAATGAATCAGAAAGAAAAGGAGAACTGTAAATTCAGAAATAGCTTGTGTAACTGATGGCAGGTTTTCTTCTTCGCCTGTTGCAGGTTGTTCATACCGTTGAAGTCGGCGGATTCTGGGTCCTCAGTATTGATCACAATGACCTTCCAGTCGGTCTCACCCTCATCGATCAAAGCCAGAGTTCCCAACACCTTCACTTTGATTATTTCTCCACAAGAGCACACCTGAGAATCAAAGGCATTTAAAAACAAAAAAGCTGCAAACAGCTGAACTTAAATCTGTGTCTGCCAAGCCCCCAGTCAGAGTAGTACCTTGTTTCCTATGTCACATATATCAATAGGATCGTTGTCTCCACAGCAGCCTGTGTCGCTGTCCTTGTGGTTGGGGTCCTCCCATGTCTGTGAAAGGAGAAAGCTCGTGTTTAGTGGCGCAGAGACACAGTCTGGTCTCCTGTTGTTTGAGTATCGTTTATAGGACTCACCTGTGGAATAGCTCCATAGTTCCAGATGTAGCCTTTGTGAGGAAACACATTCGCTACATAACGGAGATTCCCCTTCTTCATATCTTGTTTCAGTGGATTGAGAGGATCTTTGGTGGCAATCTGATAAACAAACGGCCAAAACACAGGTACTGACTCACATTTTAGTGACTGTACTATTAGAAATGATCATTTCCAAATATTTGCATACATTTATATTATATATATATATATATATATATATACCTCCATCTTTGCATTTGTCCATCTTGGAACCTCCACAACGGCGTGAAAAATATTCTGCAAGACCAACCGAAATACCTCAGATTAATTATCTTTCCTGTTTTAGATTTATTTCACTAAAACCTACGTAACAGTGATTATAGAACGAAAGACAGCTGAAGCTTTGCACAAATCCCAAACTTGAACGGACGCTGATAGGACCGTCTGATGTATACAGTGTGTGCTTGAAAACGCTTTATCCAGTCATTACCAGTGGATAGTGGAGAAACGTTTGTGTTCTATAGATAAATAACCTATCGCCGATGTAACCCTTGAATGGAGCGACAGGAACAGTACATTTTTGTACAAAAACTATTTATATATTTTTTATTTTATAACAGAAACACAATCTTTCCACCATAAAGGCCTAATAGAGGGATTTTAATGTACCAATTTGTGCCAAAGTTAGCACACTAACTGTCCATCACTTCAGACAAATTGACTCCATCTGATTGGTCCGTCTACACTCTCCTAAAGCCAAAACAAGTAGCAAGGGCTGGGGTCATTTTGGTCACTTGGAGCACATAATTATGCTTTCAAAACTACAAATCACGTATTTTTATGAACACGGTTTACAGTACAGCCCCAGCAACACGCTTTCAATCTCCCAAAGGTACAAATACAGCTCAAATAGAGTAAGTGTGACATGTGATGCTCACCTCTGCTTCATTTGCGTAGATGGGTATGTCATGAAACGGGGAGATGTATTTGCCCTCAGAGTTTTCTATTAAAAAGAGTAATGCAATGTTAACTCTTTTAAAAATGAATCACCATGAGGAACTACAAAGTGTGAGATCCCCCCATGAAGCTCTACGACTACTTGTCAATGCAGCTATAAATAAGTTATAGCAACAAGTTAACAAGCAACTATTACAGTAAAATTCGCTGTACTTACTGAAAAACAGCCTGTGCTCGTTGGTGTTCGGCCTGCCCCTCTCCTCGATGGTAACGCTCATGTCTGATGTTGCTCTCAAGCTCTCCCACTGTGGTCTAATACAGGAGCACTAAGACGCTTTTGACTGACAGACATCGAGGCCGAGGGAGCAGGCATGCGCAGTGCTTAAGCCAAGAGACCTGACAACTGCATGCATGTGACAACAGGAAGTGTAAAGGCGAGAAAACAGAGCTGCAGGTTCCTGTGGGGTTTTTTTTGTCATCCGTAGCTAACTAAGTGTGAACAAGCATCTGAGAGAAGCAGAGTTGCTCAGAGTAGTAAGCAACAGCTAATCCCTTCCTTATTCCCACTTCTCCATGGCTGCCACCTGCATTCTGCGGCCTGGATGTGATGTTTCTTTACCTTCTTTTCGTGTGGAAGCGGGGGCTCTGGAGGGCTCTATTCAGACACAAACAGATGGAGCTGACTGGCGTTAGCTGTAAACCAATTAACAAGGCAGGATTAGGTGGCGTGCCCACGTTGTGACTTCTTGCCTCTGGAGTTTCTCTGTAACTATTTCGAACATAACATTATGGGCCTATTTTTAGAAACATGTACGAAGGTGACTTATCTGTTTTTCTCTCTACATGCATCATTTTAAAAGACAGGTTGCATGGTTGATTTTGAGGGCAATTAATGGCTCCTTATGGAGCTTGCCACGTTGCTTAACGTTGTAATGTAAATCAATATGTCAGAGTCAGGTGTATAATTACATTAATTGTTTAATTGTAACAATGAGAGGAGCGTGGAGTCAGAGAATAGCATGGTGCACAATACAAGGTCACAGTCTGGGCAGCAGAGGGGTCACGTGACGCTGTGAGCCCGCCTCTGTGCTAAATATTTACTCCGACTCCGGCATCCTACCCTTGTATGAAATAGTCAAATTTGAAAGTATTTACACACATAAAAATGGTCATTAGTGAATCCCTCACACATCATAACGCTACCTCTCTCTTCTTGCCCTTCTGGGGTTGACACAGTGAACCCAAACATCAGCTTATAGGTGATCCAGACTCCGCAGTGTTGCTATTTAAAGAATTCTTGAAAAGCCTAAGCGAACCATTTAATACTGAGGATCAGTCTCTGTCACCTGCAGATGGAGGGTTTAAGAGCGTGATCAGTGTTTCTATCTGGACTTTCTCTGTAACCCGACTGAATCAACTCTCTGTGATCAGATAGTTTCAGAGTACTTTGCTTGTCTCTCCAATCACGTTTGTTGTTTGTTATGAGCGTAGATGAACTACAGGAGAGCCCTTTCTATTTTAATAGTCTGGTATTTTACGTCTACACATGTGATAAAGTAAAGACTTTCTCATTCTATTCTTTGACCAAACTGTTGGCCTAACTAGGATCCGTATCCCAAGTTTGTCTTTTATGGTTGTGAATGTGAACATCAATAACTTACTAATAAAACTCGGGTTGAAACAATTCACCAATTAGTTCATCAACAGAAAAAATTGTAGCTATTTAATAACTAATTCATAATTTGACAAAATGCCAAAACATGCAGTAGTCCCAGCTTCTTAAATATGGTGATTAACTCTTTTTTTTAAACTGTTTTGTATAATTGTAAACGGATTATGAGTGAGGGATTGCTGGTCGGACAAAACAAGATATTTAGAAGACTATTTTCTGACAGTTCTTCTGACGTGAACAATTATCTTTTATTCCAGAAAACGGTGGTCAGACTTGTTGAAAATTAACACTATCATCAGCAGCCGTCCTAAATAAACAGTATAGCTGAACTTTACGTCAGGACACACTTCTGAAAAATTGGTCCAACGTGAATATGAATAACTGTCATTCAGTGAAAAATAATGACGCAAGACTGCAGAGATTCCAGTGCATCATTTTTAATTGAAAAAAACATTTTTTATGCTCTCAAAAGGAATAAATAAGTTATTATTTATCTATGAATGAATTGGCATATAAATGGATTGATTTCATCTCTTTGTAGTTCATAAAAAGAGGACAAAGTAGAGGCCGCAGGGTGAAGTCATCAGCAGAACTGAAAACCTTATTTAAGGAGGACGACATCTTTAATAAAACACCTCCGGTTTCTTTGTTACTTGTAAACCATTTTGAAATCTTCAGTTCGATATCTTCAAGTATGTTTCCTCGTCTCTGAGTCACACCAAAGCATCCGACTGAAGTAGCTAAAAGGCACACAGCATGCAGACCATGGGTGGGTACATATAAATGAATGACATATTTCAGCACTCGGTTTCAAAATTGTGTGGAGATTGCAGAGCCGACTGAGTGTTTGAGTCCAAAGGGTTTGACTTCACGTTCAGCCACTTCAGTGCCGGCATGTCACTCAACTTCTCCACTGGTATTTCTGTGGGACAAGATAAGAATAACAGAGTAAACTTGAGCTCAAGGCATATAACAAAATAAAACCCCTTGTGTATTATTATCTTATTATTATTACCTGTGATGCCATTCCCCTCCAGGTTAATCCTCTCCAGCGTGGCTATTTCACTCAGCTTATCGGGGAAGATGGAGAAGCTGTTATCAGCCAGATTGATGGAGGTTAAATGCTCCATTTCTCCCACGATGTCAGGCAGTTTGGTGAGAACATTTCCTCGCACGTCCAGTTCTGCAGAATATTTAAAGACGGGGCGTAAATCGAGGGGTCACCTGTCTGTTCTTCCGCCAACATTTGTGAGGTGAACAACATACAACAACAATACACTGAAGAGTGTATCGTCCACTACCTCTCAGCTGAGTGAAGGTTGAAAAGAGTTTGCTGGAAATGGACTTCATCTCATTGTCAGCCAGTGTGATAACGCGGATGTTGTCTGAGACACTCTTGAGGATCTTGAACACACCGTCTGGGAAGTTAATGAGCTTGCAGTTTGACAGGTCTGCAGAGAAGAGATAATGAAGCTTTAACACAGCTTCTATAATTAACAAACACGTAAAGATTTAAAGTTATTTGAAAAGACAAATGTTAGCCTCTGACACCACCTGCTGGGGAAAATTTGAAATATTGAATCAGGGCTCTTCATTCAGCAGAAAGAGTGAGTGAGAGAGAGAAGAGATATTACCCAGTGTATCTTTCCCCTCCTCTACGGTTGCATTAACCCTCCGGGCCACATTTGCAACTGCCTCAGCCATTTTTCCGCTGGAACTGTTCCTAAAAACAACATTACATGACACATCACACTTAGTTTTTTGATGCATGAGATGTATGACACCCAAATAGTAATTGCAGTAACTAAAAATGACAGTATGTCAATTAAAATGTATCCAGCTTCATGCGGTTGCCACACTTGCTACATTATGTCAATATTAAGTGAGTGCTCAATGTATTCTTATGCTACACACATCTTTGTAACCATTCATCACTAGAGTATTATTAAGTAACTTATTTCCTTTTGTTGTAATATTGTCAACAAAAGGAAATGAGTAAATTCCCTTACTTACTTACTTATTTATTTTCTGTAAATTGACATAAATATTTCTTGAGACAGGTACTGATATAATTCACATGCAAGTACATATTTTAAAGGTTTTCAAAAGTGAACTAAAAGAAATAAAAGTGCGACAAGAAATACACCAACAACTGGAGATGATGCAATTATGAAAATCCACTAAATTGGAGAAAATACAAAACAATCTACTGTCAATAATGAGTGATGACAAGCCCCAAAATGTTGGGGATTTTTATGCTTTCGGATCAGGTGACGGATCACATAGAAGTACTCTGTACTACAAGCAGAGGTGGAAGAAGTATTCAAATATGTTACTCAAGTAAGAGTACAAATGTATGAGCCTGTATGTTTACTGATTATGCAGAATGACCCATTTCAGATGATGTATCGTATATGATATTGTTGGATTATATATAGAAGAAGGTGGCAGAAAATGTAATGACTTTATATGCTGCTGGGAAGCTTAATTTACAATAAAATATAATAAATTATTCGTGATTCTTATTTTTTATTCATAACATAGATCTGCAAAGTAGCAAAGCAGTCAAATTAACATTGATTACAAATAAATTCAGTCTTCGTAGAAAGTCGACCAAGAAACGTGAGTGACGTAAAAACCAGTACCTTTAAAAACCACGTTAGTTAACTTTACTTAACGTTAAAACCAACGTGGCGCTGGGTAATGCCCCTATTACTTGAACTGAACCAAGAGGAACATATTTCCTTCCTCTGAAAGAGTAACGTGAAGTACAAATCAATATAATAGCTTTGGCCTAACACCAGACCAGGACCAGACTAATACAAAGACAGCCTGTTGAGCTACACTTAGTAATGATTTCAATATATCAGTGTTTCATTTACACCACACCAGGAAGACACTTACCTAAACTAGAAGCTAGTGTTACAGAGCCTGGCAGCTGTTAGCTCACGTTAGCTACAGCAGCTCAATCACAGTCTAATTTGGCGAGTGTCTATTTTTAGCCCCGCAGAGGATAATTCACCTGAATGTTTCCCTATTCATTAGAAAAAGTAAGATTAGCAACACCTCATATAGTAACGATTTACATTCTGTAAACGTCGTTGTTACTTAAAGCGACAGTTAGTAACGCTAAGTAAGGAATATGCTAGGCTGCTTGCAAACATTTTGCTAGGAAATGCTTCAATTCACGAGTGTCAGTGCTGCGCTGTCAAGTTGCAGACGATGAAACGTTAGCCTAATTAACAGTAACAAAGCAGCAATTTCACTTATTAAGTAGTAATACTTATAATGAAGAACCATTACGTTATTTAGTCGGTTAATGTTGGATGACGAGTCAGTTTTGTTAGCATATTCAAAAGTTTTATATCTGAGTGCTGCTTTTTAAAATCTGATTATTTTGCATTGAGACTGAGCCTTTTAAAACACATGAAGAAAACACAAGGAGCTTTTTTCAGCTGTGTTTCTCTACTTTGAATACTAATATTTAGAATTTAGAATTTTCCCATACTTTTTTGCATTAGGAAGATAAGTGATGTTCTTACCTCTGATTCCTGGTCAACTATTCCCAGTTTGAGCACTGGTCATGACTGGCAAATTCCTGGTTAGTCAGTGCCTTTTCAAAGGATTTGAATAGTGAGCTCTCTCTCTGGCTTCAGGTGAATAGTTTACCATTGTTACGGCTATAACTGCCACTTTACAGTATTTGCTGGACATTCCTCTCCTATACAATGCTGTATTTTGATGTGACACTGTTGATGGCTGAAACACTCTAAAACTAGTAACTGTAAACTGTACTTTTAGACGAGTTATCATATACCAAAACCAAAATACTTTTTCCATAGTTTGATATAGAAGATGTTTGATACCCAGCATCTCTGCTTAAAAATAACCTTTGTTAGTACAGTATAAGTAATAAAACATAACAAATATATATAATCCATGTCCAAAATGTACATAAATACAATTTCTTTAATATTTACAATAAATATACTTTAATTTACAGTTACTCAAATGTCCTGTACAATAAAAACAGTGCTGTAATATTCAACAACATTGCCATTTCATGTTTACATTGATGAAATTGACAAGGGAAATAAAGTTGTACATGACATTGTGACATCTGCAAACAGCTGGAAGACTGGATGCTATTGTTGAGTTTGTATTTCAGCACATCCTAAAATAACAATGTTCTCCAGAGCTCACATCGCAAATTATAATCCCATCTCTGCACGTAGATCACCTACAATCTCACAGTTCACAGTGACAAATGTCAAAGAGCTTTTCCCTCCCGGCTAAGTGTTTCCTTTTGTTTTCCAGACATCGGCTGCTCCTGCACAGCATGTTTTATGCCGTTAGCACCGCTCAGCAACACAGGTCATGTTTGGAGGTGGTTGTAGCTGTCACTGGCAGCCACATTCATCCACAATCATGTCTTCGTGATGTCGGAGGAGCATTTCTCTGTTCTCGTAGTACAGCATGCTTAAGGGGCTCATTTTGGTTGGGGCGCAGCAGGGTGCTGCCACTCGGTCCGGGTGGAAATGTTTCAGTAAACTCTGGAAAAGAAAAACAAACAAACAGAGGATTTAGATGTATAATTCCAGTCTTAAAATACTCCATTTCTGTAAATAAAGATACCAAGACAGATAAATACTTTAAATATTTTTCAGATGAATTATTCAGGATTATGCCAGTGAGAGTTTTGTGAGAGCATGCTTGTTTAAATCTGTTTTATAGCCCTGCAACTAATGATTATTTTCATTGTTGATTATTTTCTGCTGAGAGTTTTCTCAATTAATTGGTTTGTCGATAAAATATATGTATAAAACATCAGTTTTAATTACCCACAACCCCCAGTTCTGAATTCAAATTTGTTGTTTTATTAAAATAACAGCCAAAACCCAAATATATTCAGTTTATTAGACAAAAAAAACTACAAAAAATATGGATTAATTATCAAAATAGTGGCTGGTAAAATCGTTTGCATATGTTTTGTCCTTCTAGTCTTGTTTCCTTCTGCAGTCCCTGTCGTTACCTTCCAACAGCAACCAGTTTACCTTAATCTATCAGTGATAATACCAAATACTGTAAGTCACGTACACAAGCAGCACACACTGATGTGACTCTACTGAGCCTCAGATAATGAATCAGTTCTATTCACAATAACAACATAGATGGATAATCTGCTCCACTAACCTGCATGTAAGCATGATTTGTTGGATTCAGGTTTCCCCCCAGGGGACCAGGGCAGGAACCCTCACAGCGATAGGCGTTGTATTTTTTGGGAAAGACGATCCAGGACCCCCAGCCAATTTGATTAAAGTCGACATGCAGGTCGACTCGGCGACAGAGAGAGTTTTCACTCCCTCCATTGGACGCCTGCGGGCTTCCCGCTGTTTGCTCTATCTGGCCCCGTTTGCTCCTGCGCCTCTTCGGCCAACGGGCCCTTTTGATTTCAGCGGGGGACAAGAACTTGGATTGTTCAGCCGTGTGAAGCAAGCTGGCTTTGGCCTTCGAGCTTTCATCAGAGCCAGTTTGTGAGAAGACGACCAACAAGGCCCGCTCACTCACGTCCTGCTCTCTTCTCGGGCTCGCCACAAGGACGGGCTGATCGGGCAGCGACAGGCCTCTCTTTGTCTTTTCCACTCTCTTTCTTCTTGACCCTCTCCTTTGTGGAATTCTCGCCATCGCCGATTTTCGCCCGAGCCAGCTCAAGAGCGGTTCTGTCATGTTGAACACTTTCCAGCTCTGTGATGAAGTGACCAGTGATGATTCAGTGAGAAGCCCCACCAGCTGCTGTTCCTGGCAGCCCTCGCGCGTATGGCATGCCTGGCCATGCTGGTGATAGACCGCCACAGTGATGTTGGAAGCACTCGCTGTCCGAGGAAGCCTGACCCTCAGCTCTGCCGCCTGGATCTGCTTCTCAGCGAGAAGGACCCTGAGGTCAAAGGTCGCAATCCAGCGCCGCTGACTGGACGTCAAACCTAATGTAGTGAAAAGAGAAAGATTAGCAGAATAGTCTCAGACACCTTAAATTATAATTGACACCGATATGACAACACGCAAATGCCAGTGAGCTTTCCAGGAGAAGCAAACTACAACAACCAAAATGTTAACTGTGAAATGCTATATTTAAATGTAGGTAATTATGATCTCCTTCAGTGATTTGTTCTTTACTTCAGTGAAGACTTCCTCTGGGAAACTGTATTTAGCAATAAATCAGGACATAAATGCTGCTACAGCAGTATCTCTTTAAATGTGTCTTTCTAAACCAAGCATTTAAACTTAACAGGTACTTGTGGTGGTGGGATTGGGCGACATAACATAAAATATTGTGAAACAACAGAAAGCTTTTTTTACACGGTTAATTCCAGTAACTTTCTTTTTAATACCTCTGGTTATAGGTAATTATGTGCAGAACTGCTTTATTGCAATTTTAATTTAAAGGATGTTTGTATTTATGTGATGGACCTTGATTAGTTACTTGATTTACTGAATATGGCAAAAACAGACATTATTTTCCTATAATCTTGTCTATAATCACTTTCTTAAATAAATAAAACATTTACTCACAATGCAGATAAATATTGTCATATACAATATAACCATATACGCTGTGAGATCATTTTTTTTGCTACATGGCGGTATAACAGGGAAATACAACATTTATTTGAAACATATTTGAATATGTGTGTCTTAATAACTGAAATAGATGCATGTAAATGTCAGGCTGACATCAGCAAATTGTCAATTAATGTGCACCCCCAAAACCTCAATAACCAACCATCATTGAGCTTATTAATTACCGTTAAGATGTATGTTATTTAGATTCAATCTCTTCTTTTGTTTTGCAAAGTGAGTTGTGAGGAGAATGGTAAAGGCCAAGTATAATTCCCTTTGATAACTTCTGATGTCTTCATGATTAATGCTTGTACAGGTGGAGATGTCTTAAAAATAATCCAGTCATTGTTCTGGTGCAGGGCATCATGTGCTGCGCCCATATCATTGTGATTCAATGGACAGGCGTGATTCAAATTAATCTAAAGGATTAAAGCATTCAAAACGTTCAATTTGTTCTCTGTCGTGCATTGGCCTGCTTAGCTCTATATACTGTTGATCAAACGTGCCAACCACCCTCGCCAATCATCCACTCAAACCAAACACCGATCCGAAACCAATCACTTAACACATCCTCTGCCTCTCCTGGCTTCTGCATATCCTCAGCCGAACAAATAGGTAGCAACTCTAACACCTAGCAGCGATGTGGAATTAGACTCAGCAGCAGGGAGAGGGCTGTCCTCTGTCGGCTACTTGTGCCATTAAATCCCGAGCTCTAATCTAATCAAGCCAAGTGTGAAAAAAGAACTGAGGGAAGTTGTTGATTTGACTTAACAAGAGATTTGTATAGGGGATGTCTGGCGAGGTACTAATCAACATCACCTATTTAAGTTAAAAAAAGAGGTTTGCTTTGAGAATTAGACAGAAAACCGTCCTTTTCACACGCTGATCCCTGCATGGTTATTCGCCCCTCTGAGCGGGATGTGGATTGAAACCCTCTGAGGTCGTCTGGCTCGCAGCTTTGACAGCAACACTTGAGCCCCCCCCAAAAAACCCCTAAGGTTTCAAAGAATCTTTAAGTGGTAAAGAATCTGACTTTGACCACAGCAGCAAAAAAAATCTTAAGGAATAACGACGTTAATACATGTCGCATCACATTGTCGTCCCATCATTCATGATTCCCTAAAATGCATGTTTTGGAAAAGCAAACCTTACTTTTAGCCATCACGCTCTTCACGGTGTCTGCCTGCTGTGCGGTGTATTGCTCCGTGGCATCCGAAGGCCTGGAAAAGTTGGACCTGAAATTCCTGTAGAGATGCATCATGTAGTTTGGCAGGTGGTACCCGGTGGATCGGTCCATCCCGGAGAAATGCTGCCGCGACCGCAGGTAAACTCCATCCCTGTTCTTATGAAGCCCATGAGCGAGCAGCACCAGCAGAGATGCGTGCAGCGCGACAGCCAGAGCTCCCACTGAAAGCATGTTATGGGCCGGTTAATGACACATTCCTCTCCGCGGAGATTAGGGGTGTCTTATATACCCTCACCCACCCCCGTTTTTATGTTTAACAAGTAGCTGAGAACATTAAAGGAAATTGACATGCGTCCTCAAGACTTGTTACCTGACAGCTCATCATCCATTCTGTTGGTAATGAGGCGCCTGGGTGCGTGTTTACAAGGCGCGCAACTCTTTGTTTGCGCCATGTTATGTGGGCTTCTGCAGCCTGACTCCCCATCCTTGGATTAATTGTTTTTAGCTATTTGGCTTACACTCATTGTTAGGCTTTCCCATAGTGTAATGTCTACTGAATACCGTCTGAGATGAACAGGAGAACCGTTGGGACACAGAGTAGTGAAACATTAATAATGTAACATAAAACATCACTCAATTATCAGAATTATCAGGATAACGAATAACTCAAATAAAATATAAAAAACATGTAGGCTGCATACCTCTATATATATATATATATATATATATATATATATATATATATATATATATATATATATATAATTATAAAAAGTAGAAAAGACCAACAGCATAGCCTACAATATCTACTTTATCCCATGGTTTCACTTATAATCACACACTGTTCATATCGGGCTTTAAAGCTTATATAATGTCAATATTACTGACTGTACCATTCTTTTATGGTGTTTTGGGTTTTCACAGTATTATCCTAAAATACTAATATCCCTTTAATACAAGTTTAAAGTGGTGGATCGTTGACATTTGCATGAAACATAGCTGAAGCACGCTGTCTTTTTGGAACTGGCTTCTAAAGATATAGAACTGCATGAACCACGATGTCGCAAAGCTCAGTGATTCATATTTTAAGGTTTTGGATGTGAATAATTATGGTTAGTGAGACTTGGCACCGAGCATCCGAGGATGACCGCAGACTGCGCATGCGCTGTCCGTCGTTCATCCACATAGCGAAAATCCTTTTCCTCGTGAATTTCCAGAGAAAGGACCCCAAAAACAAATCAATGGATGTTGTTTTCTTCCTTGTGGTATAAAGAGAGAGCGGTGCACCGCGGCTTCATCCTCCACGGGACAAACCCACTACACCAAAACATGTTTTCTTACAAGCCAGAGGCTTTTTTTTCACCCACCGTGTGCTGAAATGGTGAGTAGCTTTAAAGTTTACGGCTCTTGTTGCACGAGCCTCGATAGGCGAAAACTTAACGTTCACGCGTTTTTTGGATGCTAAAGACTCTCGCCGTTTCCGAGCACGTTTATAAAATAATGCGTGATAAATATTTTCGTTTGAGCATTTTGGATAAGAGTAATGAGTGTCTTTGTAACGCGAAGTGATTGTGTGGTTGATGGGGCATACGTGTGCTTGGTACCCCCCCACACACACACACACACACACACTCTCAATGGCTGCATTACATCGTGCACTGCATCTTCCCAGGAAGTGATGAATGATCTGAAGTTGGGTAAACTCTGACCTCCAGTTGGTAACTAAATCTGAGGCAAACAAATGGAGGCGGATCAATGTAGATGTATGCTTTTTATTTTGTTTAAAAAAACACATTTTCTAATTTACTGATATGTAAGTTGATTGAGTTAATGCACCACATGACTACTACCTTCTTTTGTGCACAATTTTTAACATGTGCACTTACTTCAACAAGCAATCAATGTATCACTAATAATTAAAGCACATTTTTGTAGCTTTTCACAATACAGGAAACACTATGCACCCAAAACAACAACAACTCCCACACATTAATTAACATTAATAGCATTATATCATTTACTGGCCTGAATGTATTTTTCATAAATATTGAATCTGGTACTGTAAGTAGACCTTTAGCATATTTAATTACAAAGGTCAAGCATGAACTTATGTGCTCTACTTTGTTATGAATAGGCAACAAATAATGTGTTGTTATCGGCTCATGGGCTTAAAAAGACTTTTAGTCTGGAACACGTTTTGAATGCAATGCAAACAGCATATAGGCTGTCACTGAATACATGCTGTCAGTGCAAACTAATGCCCACAAGACACGGTCAATGTTCAGACATGTTCATTCTCCCATTAGGCGTAATGTAAAGTATGAAAAGTCCAAAGCGCATGGAAGACAATGCACAGCACGCCCTTTTGATGTATTGCCGTGCCGGCTGTTGTTTGATTTATCCCCGAGCAGCTGGGACCGGTCTCCTCTGCTCATATCACTTTACCTCACATCCTGGGGGGGGAGACAGAAACTGGCTCTTGACAACCGAGAGCGCAGATCAAACCGCGACCATCACAATTAATCAAGAGTGAGAGCATGAATGAATGGACACCTGCATCATAAATGATTGAGCTATTTATTCTAGGCTTATCTCGATAAGAGGAGGAGAACAGCTTTACTCCTCCCAGGCTGAAATCAAAAAGTTGTTGATTATCTGGTGTGAATGGTTGTTTTGTTATTAACTATTTATGGGCAGTAGGGAAATTGGTTGGGAACAGAAAGAAATCAAAATGGGGGTCCAGTTAGAGTTAAAACCCAGGGTTGCTTGAAAAAGCATGAGAAAGAGTTGATTTTATCTATTATTTGTGTCCCGTACAATATTTTGATGTTTGACTGTTTTCATTGCCAGGGTGCAATGGATAATCTTTACCACAAGGTGTCATATTTGATCACTGGACTCAAGTGGATATTTAATGTCCCCCAAATGTGTCTCCTGGGGGGAGCTCATTGTCATTTCATCTTCCCAAAGTGTTGGTGGTGTATTCAAAACTTGTCCCCATGCAGCAAGGAAATAAAGAACATTTCGCAAGTTATTATTTCATCCATATAATATAGTAATTTAACCATCATTCTCATACTGCGCCTATAGCAGCTGAACTTTGGCTGAGGTGAGATGGTTTAGTTTACTATCTCGGCCTTTCCTGTTGCTGTTAAAAGGCTTTTAGCAAATTGCCTTTTTGGGGGTAAGACAGACTCCAGACCTGAGAAAGGATTCGGGTAAGACAGGTGATATTAGCCGTATGCTCTTTTTTCTATTTGGGACATTTAGAAAAGAGGAAGTGGAACATCCGTTACTCCAAATTGCACTCTGCTTTATCGCCATCTAATAAATCAATCACAAGGAAATTAATGCTTTGGACCTGTCAGAGTAACTAGGTGCCTCATTTGGTAGCTTTATTGTCGCTTTATTTCATTTATATTCAGTATCTTTTAGTGACATCTATTAGACAGCTTCTTGTTTCCGGATATTTGGCTTTGATCTCAATAACCCCCCCTGTAGAAAAGAAAATCATGTTCCTGATTGCTCACTCACTGCATTGATTCATTCATGTTCTGCTGTTCGCAGGCAACGGGGGCGTTTTTGTTTCACGTTCATTGTGTTGCGAGAACATCAAGAGTCTTGGCCTGCGCTGCTGCAGGAAGGAAGGAACAGGTGTGGCAGCAGTAGATTTCACATGCATATCTCCCAAAACCACTCACCGCGTTTCCAAATGCGCTTGATTTGGACGTTGTCTTGTGACAAACTGTTGATTACACACATTTTTTGTAAGAAAATATTTTCGCAGTCAGACAAACTTGATTTTGTTGGCTGTTTACTTCTTTTTGGAGTCGTAGTGCAGGTATAATATAACTGGATACTGTTTGCTTTGTTCTTTCTTTATACGGCCCACATGAGGAAATAGGACACTTATTGCACGACGAGATGGTCTGACCTGCGGGTTACAGCTATAAGAGGTAGAGCACATAGGCCTTTGCAGCTGAGCCTCGAGCTTAAATCTAAGTGTTTGCCCAGCTGTAAGCCTGTTTGCCTTCAACATGGCACGTGTTAACCGCTAATGAATGGAGTAATTAGAGCATCGTAGTGAATTAGGCTTACGTGATGTCATCTGTGTGCAGTTGTTACTGATTGTCAGCCTCCTGGCAGGTCTACATTGCATTATGTCAGAGAGGGTTAACTGCTGCAGCTGATTGTAGTACGTTTAATAAGTGAAGGTTTAATTTGTGTGTTTGAGACGGTTGTTAAAAGGTCTGCCATGTGTGGGAGGCATTGTGCTGCCAGGAGGCTCCGGGTAGTGATTGGATAGCGAACTGGATGATGAGTAAGCCTCTCTGGGTCCGCCTCCACATCCTCTTTACACATCCACGCACACACACACATTCACCCGTTGCACACACAAATCCCAGCGTGCGCGAGCAGCCTTGCACCTCATGCACAGGGGATGCATACAAAAAAGTAACAAAAAAACAACAAGGGAGCATGCTATCACCCTTCTAAACCTCCTCAGGCGGAGAGCTGTGTGTGGTCCCCCCCCCCCTTCTGCCTTCTCCTGCAGACTGCCCATCTGGGATCTGTCCTCACTAAAGGACACGTTCACTGACTCACTTTATAAGGACGCCTTAATGATGCGAGACCGCCGCCTGCCGTAGTGTGAGTGGGAAGAGACAGCTTGCCTCATAGATCAGAGAGAGAGATGCCAGCGAGGATGTCTGACTGAGACTGGTACCGCTGCCTGCAGTCATTTTGGTTATTTTTCACCCACTATTTTCAGTTTTTTTTTTTTTTTCATTGTGTTCCTCAGAGACTCGAGCACCTCTCGGATGGTTGACTGATCAGCTGAATGTCAGGTAGAGTTGTGACACTTCTCTGTGTTGTGATACTTGAGTCTTGTGGTCGCTATCGTCAGTATGTTTCTGATGGATACAAAAGGAAATGTACGTCGTTTAAATATCACTTCAGATGCTGGGTGCGATTTTTGTTTCCTACTTGAAATTGAAGATAACACTGCAACCGTGTCAAACAAAACAAATCATCATAATCTAACTTAGAATATAAAAGCTTCTTGGTTTAATGCATTCTTTCATAATACCAGTCATGTTTGATGTTCACATAGCTGCATGGATTACATTCTTCATGGCATGTGATGCATAGTCTCTCCTCTGAAGTGTTCATCATCTCTCGTTCCGTTAGGATTCTATAGCTTCCCACGGCAACTTAAAAAAAAAATGCAACTGCTAAGTCAGATTGTGTTTGCTCACACACACACACACACACACACACACACACACACACACACACACACACACACACAAGTTTACCACTTCACTGTGTGTGGCGAAACATACTAACACATTGGTGTAAAATCTGTCCAGGGAGAGGTTCTCTGAGGCAGCGACTGATAGAAACGCTGTCAGTTAGCCTGGTGGTGCTGACAGAATGTTGTGGTCAGACGCTGGGGTTACGAAAAAAATGAAAGCCACAGTACTGCAGCCTTAAAATCATAGGGGGGGGGTAAAATTGCCATCTTGAAATTAAATAAATTACAGGCAGGGATTTAAAAATAGATTTGCACACTCTTTTTTTAGCAGCTCAGTGTCAAGCTGCGATGAAAGCAAGAATGTAGAAGGATAAAGGTCATTCATGTGATTTATCACACATTCACTGCAGTAGCAGAGTTTGTTTTTGTGTCACTCATGGAGTCCCAGTAGATTTGCTGCTTTAAGTGGAAGTCTGTTGTTTTCCGGTCAGTTTGTGCACCCAGTCTGTTAATCCAGACTATCTGTCTTGCACTGCGAAAGCTATTTGGGGCTATAGTGTCATCAGATTTGGAAGGCCATGAACAATGCATCCTTTTTTTTCCGCAGTATTTTTCTGTGTGTGTTGTTGGGTGATTTATTTAGGCCAAAAACAAACATAAGAGTTGACACAAATTCACAATGAGATCTTTGGAACGGTTGAAGGAAAACAAAAAAAGATTTTCTGCAGAGGAAGCACTGAGCTCATTTCCGCGCAGCTCTGATATTTTAGCTCAGGAACTAGCAATGTCCTGTGGAATCACGGCTGTATGCAACCCTTAACCTCGCTGGTGAAATATGTGCGCAGCTGCAGGGAGGAAGTTTCAGAGAGTACAACTAAGCATATCCTGTCAAGGTGTGCTTATACACTTCCTTGGCCTGGGGGGGGGCTGTGACTGGGTTGTATTGAATGGTGGTTTGGTGGTCTAGTATCCTGTGATGAGTGAGAGACTGTGGGACATTGTGTCATTCATTGTTGTGAATTACACCAAACCTTTTAATTGGCATACATTAGATTAGGTTCTTGCGCGATGCTGGACTAGTCTTTTGCACATTCCTGCATATGTTGTCATCAGACATCCGACGCAACATAAATTGACGTTTCATATGTTGTATTCATATTTTTCTGTGTTTTTTGGGGGGGGTTTTGTGCAGCCAGCAGGGTTTCAGACTTTAACATTGGCAGACTGAGCGAGTGGCCTCCGGGGAGACCAGAAATGCTGAGGAACCTTGAATAAGATGAGCAATGTTGCCAAGTAAGCGCGTTACATTGAACTTATTGGCTCTTGCTGCCGGGCTCTCTTCTCCATCTCGATATGGGAGGTTGTGTTAAAAGATCTCCTCAACGTTAAGAAGTGATCCCCATCTCCCTTGAACCCTCTTGCATCTCTTGTGAATGAAGAGTGCTCTGCATCCTTCCTCGGGGCCACCAGCAGATGCATCCTGCAGCTGCACGCTCCTTCCTGTCTGCACTCAGGCCCTTTTGTCTGAAGACGTTGCTACAGCAAAGTTGGTGCACCGGCTGAATTTAAATGTGCCAGCCCTGAATGGAGCAATGCTGGTAGGCTGGCAGGAGGCACCCGTTTCCATGGTCCTTCTTCTTTCTGTGAATTTAAATATTTGTGCCTTTGGCTAACTTCGACTATGCTGTTCACGGCCTGGCTGGCACAAAACACACACCATCTTGTTTTTGTTTACTCATTTACTTATTTTTGCGTCGGGAAATCCCAAGTTTGTCGTTTTTATTGGCTTCACAAGCAGCCCAACACTACTCTGGTTGACATGTGGGATAAACAGCCTCTCTGATGTGGATCTCCAGGAGGATGTTTATGACTGAGGGCTATTTCTACTCAGGCCTCCGCCCATGCTGCCCGCCCGCCTGCTAGACCAGGCCTGCCCATGCTAAAATGCAGTGTGGCCGACAAGCTTGTTTTAAGCAAGAACTTCCGTATCAAAGTGTGTGTGTGCAACATGGTCTCGCAGCAGAGGTAAGACAGAGGAGGGTTTTCAATGTACCAGTTTCAGTGAGCAAGCGACAGCGTGTGCTGCAGCATTAACCATGTCACTGTTAAATCAAAGCCTCTGACAGTCAGCCTCATTCAACACACAATTTTACAAATAGAAACACCACATTGGATGATATATAGGAGGTTTTCGTGTGGACGAGGACAGTGGGAGAATCTGTTGTCAGATTGTTTTACAGCCTTTCGACTGCGCCACATAGGAACATGCACATTATCATGCATGACTGTGGTGGAGGGTAAAGGAAACCTACTGATTAAATGTCCTTAAAGTGACAGAGATTGAAAGGAGTTTGCTGTGTAAATGCCCTTTACTGCTAGGAATGCACAAACTGTAAGCTCTGGTTTCACTTGAAATAGGAAGTCAAGGAGACACGGAAGACATCTTATATCTATCATGTTTAATATTACAACTAAACATGACCGTAACACGACAACTGATTCTTTTTATTACTTTTAATTCAAGTCAGTTTTATGGAGTAGCTTAAAATCACAAATGTTCCTCAAAGGGATTCACAACACCCTCTATCATTCGACTCTTTGGTCGCATAAGGAAAATCCCCAAAATACTATTTTGATTGGGAGCATGTGAAACCTCAGAAAGAGAAACGGAGGGATCCATCTTCCAGAGCCAGTTATGCCCTCTTCTCTTCTTTTGCAGTGATTCAATGGCACCCGACCAAAGGCTTAGCACCAACAAAATAGTTCTTACGGATCAAGGTGTCGTCTTCAAAACCTAAAATATGAAATTCACAGGTTCATAAAACACAGAAAAGCAGTATGTCCTCTCATTTGATAAGCTGTAAACCGCGTTTGGCATTTTTGCTTGATAAAGGATGTATTTTCTGTCGGCCGATCAAAAGAGTTGCCACTCCAGCGCGTTCCTTTTGTACTTTTTGTTGCTTGCTATACAGTACAAGAGTCAAATCCTGCCTCGTCTTTGTGCACAGCCTGTCCCTGTGAAAGGGAGCTGTACTTGAGCCATCTGGCTGCCAGATGTGCCACTACTTCCTTTGGTCCCCTCCGTGGAGACTTGAGTCTCTTGCATGAATCTACTCCCCAACATCATATCGGTGGTAGGACGAGGACGAGGAGGACGCTGTCTGAAAGCTGGATCTCCTGAAGTTTTTTTTGCTCAGTGCCAAGCGACGGGGGCACTTTGAGCTCCCACGAGGGGTGTTTCCCACCGACTGGGGGTGGGCAGAGGGGGGTTCAAAAGAGAAAGATTCCTTTTTGGATGTGATGCCAAGTTCTCACACTCCCTTTCTCTCAAACCATGGCGGAGAACAAGCAGCAAAGAAAAGGATCTGGAAGTGCAGATCGATCCTCATCTCACACGTAAGATGTCACATTTGAGTGGATTGCTGCAATGTTTTTTTGTTGTTTTTTTCTTATGGTAGTCGCAAAATCATGGCAACAGAGATGTTTTTGGGATGTGGTGAGGACTCAAATAGATTTGGGCAGCTGGAGCACCGTATTCTTAACAAAAACCGCTTCCTTTTATGGAACTTGGTGAGAGATTCAAGCTCTTTTTGCTCTTCAGTCTTTCTACTCTGCAGTTATTATTCAGGTCAAGCTGTAAAAACATTTTAGTCTTTTGCTCCCGTTGTGTTTTTTCAACCGTGCCAGACAAAGCAACAAGCAAATCAATATGTTGTTGTCTCCTCTGTTGTGCTTGTGAGAGGAGATTTTCCGGACCAAATGAAAAGGTCTGTGAGTACAAGGCTGACCTGCATGCCCACTCAGCTCCAGATGACCACTGAGCCTCTCTGCACAGCGAGAGTCCACTCTCTTCAAAGCTGGAGATCACACACGTTGTATCAAGTAGATTTTGATGTTGGATTGATTCTGACCTTTTGGGCTACATCTGCAGCTCCAGTGTTACAGTGTATTTATTTATGAGTTTGAAAACAGTGGGTTTCTGGTGATTCCTTCAGGGTTAATGTGCATTTATGCGTGTCTTCCTCTGTGTGCTCTGGTGGTGTAGGTTCCTGACCAGCTACATGTTATAAGTGATGTTGAGGAGCAGTGTTACTCCTGACTGCTGGCTTGTCAGAAGACTCGTTTGTGTATCTGCAGAGCTCCCTGAGAAGCTCGCTGTTTATTCAGAAGGGAGGGCGTCTGCTTGAAGTGCGTGGCTGGGTAGCGCGGGGGTCTGAGCGCTCAGTGTCGAGCTATATGGTTAAAATACTAATACTGTCACAGGCGACTCCATGCCACCATGATTGATTCGTAGAGATACAAAAAGAACGTTTGTAATTTGAGAAAGTGGCATTTCATTCAGTCAGATCTCTGCATGTTCTATCTCTCTCAAAAGACTCACAAAACTGCTTTTGTTAAAAAAACATTTATTGCATGATTAACATTTAGGATGTATTTTAACAGCCTAGACTGACTCTTTATAGGATACAAAGGCATCAAACGGGTCCATTTCTTTTGTCAATTCGTGTTTTCTTATTTCCAAGAACTTATGAGCTCATCTCTGGTGAACACAAGATTTAAAGTGGTGCCTCTGTGTGATTCTTTGTGGGGACACTTTTACACTTTTATAGATCTGTCGATTAAATCAACAAATCGATTAGTCAACAAAATTATACGAGTGTTAGTCCACTAAGAATTTCCTTGGTCGAGGACAGCCCTAGGGGAGATATGCTCATTTAACTCTTGCTGAGACTTGAACGAGAAGATTGATACCCCTCATGTCTGTACGCCAAATATGAAGCTACAGCGGTCAGTTAGCTTAGCTTAGCACAGAGATTGCAAAGCGCTATCATGGCTCTCTCAGAATATACAAAAAAAATCTGCCTGCAAGCACCATTGCCAGCTCACTAATTAATACATGATATTTCCTTTGCTTAATTTCACAATTTAAATATGTCTGTAAGTGTCGTCATTCCCCAAATACACCGTACGTTTTGCCACCGTTTACGGGATTCTCTGTATGCGTGCGAGTGTGTTTGCTTCCTGTTTCTGAGTACGCTGCGATGTGATTCACAGCTGCTTGTGGAGCATGGGTACAACTGCCAGTGCCGCGCCACAGCCTGTTTCCGTAGCGTCGCCACTTGAGAGTGTTCATGGCAACGGGATGGCCGACAGCAGACAGTCTCTCAGCACGAGCTCCTTTCAGACGGTCAACATCCACAACAAGGCCAAGTCCATCATCACCAACAAAGTCGCACCTGTCGTCATCACGTAAGTCCCTCCCCGAATCCGCGTTCTCACAATTGGTTGTTAATCCTCTTTGATCACCGTGGTGCCATAAACCCCACCCCCCTCCAGCCGAAGTGTTTGCCCCCCGTTATCATCTCATTTGTCAATTCAGGCCTGGCAAATAGTAGCTGATAATTAAATTGGCCTTTCTTTGCCACCCGGCCCTGTGTTCTGTTTTTAAAGGTATAATTGCAGACAGGAATTTCAGATTCACGATGAGATCCTCAAGACCAACTACAAAGTGGGTCGGATATCAGACGCTATGCCGGAGCACTACCTGGTGCAGGTAAGGACGAACCGCACCGCGCGCTGCGGTGGATATACGTGGAGTCATCTCACCTGTCTCCACGTCTGCTCTTTTCACATTCACATGTCCAAATCGCAGCGTGGCATAGGAACATTGTCATGCGCCATTTTATGATCCGGGGCAGCCATTGATACAGGAATGTTGTCACCCTGCTATCAGGGCTTTGATCTGCTCTGTCACCTCTGCTGCGTCTTGTTCAGGCATGCAGTGTTGTGTCGGGGTTAACCCACAGCCTCTGTTTACATGTGTATTTATAGGTCCAGCAGTTTCACCCGCAGTCCACAGGAGTTTGAAAACACATCTTTTCCTCTCTGTTTTGGCCTCCCATCCACACTAAACAGATGTTTCAGTCTCAACCAAACAACAGGGCTTTTCAAAAGCACTTTCCAAAGTGGAGAAATGTGAAAGCACCAACCGCGAGACGATCTCCAGAACAATTAAACAAGTCTGCTCGCTCTATTGTTGTGTATCAGAAATGTTACGATCACACAAAACAGATGTCAGCAGGGCTTTGATAGCATTGAATCAAATCTGAACCCAGGACTAATCGATCCATTTCAAAGCCCTGATCAAATCTTTTGCGGTAGTTTGTTTGGTGGGGAATAAAGACATATTTGTTAAAAATATGCTCTGTCTTTGGGGACTGTTCTGGGACATTCATTAACCCTGTCCCGACTCGTCCAAAAACAGTTTGCTCCTCACTGGAGATGCAGAAGTAAAAACAGCACAGTGGAAATCATGGCTGCAACTAACAGTCATTTTCATTGTTGATTAATCTGTTGATTCTTTTCTTGATTAATCAAATAGACCTTTGGTCTATAAAATGTCCCTCAAATGTCTTGTTTTGTCCTCAACTCAAAGATTTTCATTTTACTCTTATCGAGGAGTAAAGAAATCAAAAAAGAAATCACATTTAAGAAGATGGAATCAGAATTTTTCTTTTTCATCAATTACCACTCAGATTAATTAATTGATTATAAATATAGTTGTGGAGTAATTTAATAGTTGACAACTAATCGATTAATTGTTGCAGCTGTAGTGGAAATAATATAGAATTGAAGTCATTGTTTATGTTACATTTTATGGTGTAACACCGGTGTTACACTGAGGCAGAGCACACGACCTCCTGAAGTTATCAGAAATACTCTTACTTTAAAATGATGGGCGGTTCGATGGTCCTTCCCTCAAACATTGCCTTTTGTATTCTGTTGTTTTTCTGAAAGAGCCAAAAGTTATTGTGAATGAAAGATTCAATAACAGATTTTTTGCCCGCAGAGCTTCACAAATCTGGGTATTTTACAAACCTGGAACTGGATCCAAAATAGAAGCAGCTATCAGAACCAATGCCTATGCTATCAGTAAAGTGCAACAGTGTGGGAATTAACCTCTACGAATCACAGTCAGTCACATGCTGGACAACGATTTTGACATACTCGGCTCTATTAAAACACGTTCTCAGTAATCTTGGAGAGATGGAGGCGACAGAGCAGAGATTTAACTTGTTGAGACAACAGAGTAACCAGACCGTGTTAGTTTTGTTATTTATCAACAAAGAGGAAGAAGAAGATTTAAGCCATTTTGTGATTGTTTTGATGTTTCAATGTGGTCGAAGTACGAAGAATTAAAAAGCTTAAAACGCCAGTGAGGATGCAAGTAAATATGTAAAACACTTAAGTGTTGACATATTTACAAAGGATTTACAAATGCTAATTAATGCATGCTTGAGTGAAAGCTGGAGAAATGTTGTGTTTGGGGTGTCCTGCTCTGAGTTGACATTTGCTCTGCTTTCCAGGGGGAGTACTTCATGGTCCAGGATGTGTACAGCAAGGCAGACGTGCTCAATACCACGGGCAGCTATGGAGCACCCAACTTCCGCCAAGTCAGGGGATCCTACCCGCTGTATGGGATGGGTCAGCCGAGTCTGAATGGCTTCAAACATGTTCTCCAGAGGCTCCAGGCACAAGGACACGAGGTCACTATTGTTTCCTTTTATACACACATTTATACAGGCAGAACACACACACACACACACACACACACACACACACACACACACACATGAATGTTGACTGATAGATTGTATGCTCTTAATTCTCCCGAGTTGGTGTCTGTGCTGCTCTGCCTGGCCTTACTACCCATGTTGTCAGTAAATATTTGAAGAGTCAAGTGCTCAGTGGAGGCTGTGGCTGACTTGTAGAACTGAGCAAACAGAAAGTTGCGGTCACGTGTACCAGTGGAAAATGAATCTCTCTGCTTACAGCAGCTAAAAACTGACCGTAATTGAAATTAAATTGGCAAAATTATAGGTCGGGCTTCTCTAAACTCCTTACTCATGTGCTGCATGTCATACGACGTCAACGATTGTTTCCAGTTGCTCTTGGAAGTGGGTTATTTGGTAGATGGTAACATCCTCTTACTTTAAAAAGCTATTATTTGATGCCTATTGCGTTTTGCTTTTGAAAACAGGAGGTTATATTCTTCTGTGTAAGAGAGGAGCCGGTGGTTTTCCTGCACAAGGACGGCAACTTTGTGCCGTACACACCGAGGAGGAAGGAAAACCTCCACGAAAACCTTCATGGCCTTGAAAAGGAGGCGCTGGTGGAGAGGCTGGAGCTCACTATCAGGAAGGAGGTGACGAACACACACTTACTCAGCATCCACATTTGAGTTTTTTTGGCACCATATAGTGCATAGCAGTATTGAAACACCCTCCCCTCTCCCTTCCTCCGCAGCTCCGTGACTTTGCGATACTCAACGAAAACATCTTCTATGTCTACAACGACATCGAGCACTTTAAAGACGAGCCGCAGAAGATCTTCATCGCGTGTGAGGAGGACATCCACGTGACTGAAGAGGTCTATAAGAGGCCCGTGTTCACCATGCCGGCCTACAGGTTGTTTACATTGTGCCTTTATTAGCCTCTCAGCTCACACTGTAGTTTAGATGGAGCAAAGTGCTGTAGAATATGCAGGGCAGGTTATAAATAAGTGACGTTTGTTTGTGCAAAGGCTGGTTGCCCTGCTTATGTCGAAAGAAAAAGGGGGGGGGAGCATAAAAACGAAAAGATTGCAGCATCCTGTTTGCAATCAGATCAGCAGCATCAGCTTTATCAAGATGTCACAAGCTGCTTACAACATTTCCAGCGCAAGAGAATATATTACTCCCCGAGGAGAATTTTGTAGTCTTAAGAAAGCAGCGGGATGATTTATTATAAATAGTTTGATTTGCAGGTGATGTATTTTTAAGGGGACGTTAACGATCCCACGATTTTGATCCCTCCCATCATTCCTTGTGTTTCTGTCCGAGACTTGTGTGAGATCAGTAAACACTAAATGAGTCTTACTTCAGGTCACACGTGTATGTGTAGTGTGTTATGACCTACACAACACAGGCGGAGGTTCAACTCCCGCTAACAATCTGTTGTATTGCAGGTACTACAGACTACCACTACCCATGGAGGGAGCACCATTGGAGGAAGACTTTGACGCATTTGTTAGCATACTCAGGGTAAGATACAAAAAACAAACGTTGATCACGACACACTAGATGGATAGACCTTTTTTGGATGTGCTTCTCCTGATGGGATCTTGTTTTGATGTGCTGTTAAAGTTATTAATGGCTGGAATATTGGAGAGCATCTGGACTTTCTCACTGAGGTAGCAAAAAGGTCACAGCATCTTTTTTTTAATCCACGTGTAGCCTTTTGAATCTGTCCTGTACGTGCTATTAATCACCGACAAGTGTGATAGTTATATAATAAATGGCTGAAAACCTGCTGTTTTGCACTCACTTAATGTCCGCTCTTTGGTCATCTGCTCTGTCTGGTTTCCGTCCTGCTCCTCACTCACATAGGATGTTCTTTTCATCTTGTTTTGCCCTTTTTTGGACTGACTTGCAGCAGCTGGGCCAATTCCCTGCGGTTGGAAAGCGACTCCTTTCCAGTGTTTGGATCAGAGCCTTACTGAGTCTTACTCTGCCTTCCACTCTTTCTTTTTGTCGTTCTCACTTGTCTCACATTTTCTTTTTGAAAGATTTAAGGCATGGCAACCCTCCATATTTTCCACTTCTATTATAACATCCAGGATGTTGCCTCGCTTCCCGTTTCTGTGGTTTAAACAGACTTTTACATCACACTTTCCTGATCTCAACTAAAATATTTCTAAAATGACATTAGGAACCAGTTAGTGTTGATTTGCTGATTTGCAGGTGAAAAGACATTTAGACCTCAAGATTAAAACGTAACCATGTTGTTTTAAAAACTTTAGACTAAATTTTAGACTAAGTTTAATTCGAGTTTTAACCTCCCTAACCACCTTAATGATGTAACGCAGTTTATCTCTGTTAGGTCTTTTACATTCTCCGTTATGTGCTCTGTTTTCCAGGAGAGCCCCAGCTTGTCTCTGGGCCACGATGCGTCCCGGCCGCTGCCCGCTCTGCTCTTCAACTGCCAGGTGGGCGTCGGCCGCACCAACTTAGCCATGATCCTGGGCACACTGGTCATGAATCGCCTGAGGGGTGATTCACAACCACAGTAAGGATTCAAATGCATCTGGAAAAAATGGAGAATGACGAGACATAAAACTTGAGCGCATGTTTGATAATACAGTATAATGAGGCATCTTTGAAATTGGAGCATTTTTTGATGCCAGGTAAGATTGGACTTCACTTTGTTTTGCAGAGTTGAGGAGGCAGCAGCTTCAGAGCCCAAACCACTGTTCCAGGTCATCCAGTCTCTGATCAACAAGCTGCCTAATGGACAGCAGGTTATGGAAGAGGTAAAGCAGATACAAACTACACCAACACAAATATTATTCTATGTCAGCGATTTCAGGAGGGGGTCTTTAGTTTATGTTGTTTACATCAATGTCTTAAAAGGTCAAAGTTTGATTTGATTTTTTCCTTTTGCATCTCAAAATTGTTGAAGTTTACAATGTATTGTTTTTATCTGACAGGTTGACCAGGCTATCACCCTTTGTTCAGAAATGCACAACATAAAAGAAGCAATATACGAGAACAAGAGTAAGCTGGAAGGGATCGGAGAAGATTATCAAATTCAGGTTAGTGGTTTCTTTTTAGCTGTGATCTCGCAGCGCTGACAGCAACCAGAAATGTATCTTCAAAGGCAGCCACCTTGTGCCTTAGATGACACATGATGTTCAACTGCCTGTGGTGCTCAATTTATATGCCGCTAAATATACAAGAAGGAGGCAGAAATCAAAGGAGGATGCATGAAAAGTCCTCATCAATCTGGGCCCTTGAGCTGACGAAGGACTTCAGAGAGTGACATTTCTTTTGTATAATTTGTCTGTCAGGAAAGTTACTGGGATGTTATATGCAGAGAATAAAAAAAAAATTGAACACCTTACAGAAATATGAGCTTTGAAAAGATACTGAAGCTTTTGTTTGTTTCTCAGGGAAGCAGCACCAAAGACTACTTTCTCAGCAGAACCATGCAGAGCTTGGAGCGCTACTTCTACTTGATTGTGTTTAATGCATACCTTCATGAACAGGTACATTATTTTTTTTTGTGTGTGTGTGTGAATATCTTTATTGATATACATAAAAAATAATCGGAGTTAACCATGTGTTGCATTTCGCAGTATCCTCTTGCCTTTGTGTCCAACTTCAGCCAGTGGATGTGCTGCCACGCTTGGCTGTACAGGTTACTGGCCTGCATGGACCTATCGGAGCTGTCGGCTCCGGCCGAGCTGGTCACCAGAGGGGCCCGCGTCCTGGTGAGGAAAACATGGGCACACATCCTGAAGATTAATGCCGTGGGCGTTACACTTTTGATTATATGTGTGTCTGTAATCTTAAAAAACAAAAATCGTGCCAGGACACTGATGTATTCTCACTGTTTATGCATATAAATGCTTCTGCTTTTTAGCTCGACGCAGGATGTCAATCTTTACTTCGAGATATCTCAAATCTCTCACAGTCCTCCCACGCATGTCGTGTAATCGTCTGTATCTTCAAATGCACCACGTTTAACTGCGCGTGTCTTCACAGGTTGCTGATGAGTGTCTGGCCCCTGACGTGCTCGGCACAGTAAAGGAGATGAAGGCGGTCAACTTCAGACGAGTGCCCAAGATGCCTATTTATGGAATGGCTCAGCCAACATCAGAGGTGCAGCAGATTACCTCATACCATCATGGAAATCATACAAAAAGCTTCTATTTACTCTGCGACAGTTGTCACACGAATCCTCTTAAAGGATTTAAAAGGAGATAATTCATTTCATGGACTACCGCTTCTATCTAGAGAGCATCATTTGTAATACTTACTGATTAGGGCATTTTCACAAGCCATAGTCTTTGTAACAATTTTGTAATTATCACCAGTATGCATTCTTGCAGTCAGGAATATTCATGAGAGTACAAATCGACTCGGAGGAATGACTCATGATGGTTTCGACTCAGACGCCCACCTCAGGATTTGCTGGAGTTGGACTTCCAGCTACTTACCGTCTCTATCGTAAACTTGCTGTGTGTGCAGGCTACCGGAGCAGTTTTGGCCCACCTGACAGATGAGAAGAGGAAACACGCCCACGTGTTGTGGGTCAACTTGCAGGAGGAGCTGGTGCTAGAAGGCAATGGTCAGATTTTTACACCGAGGGAGTCCTCATGCCTGGACCAGCACATTCCTATCCCTTTGTCTGACCCACAGCTAATGGAGGTAGAGTGACTACGATGCTCTTCGGGGCAGTTACAATCAGACAAGTGATCAAGATGAGACAGTCACTAGTTTCTCATGTCCCTTCCTGTTCTGTAGAAACTGGAGACCTCTCTGAAGGAGGAGATCCTGCGAGCTCAGAAGTGGCTTGAGGTGACGCTGGAGCAGGAGAAACAGATGAAGATGTTTAAGAGCTGCCTGACGGTCCAGGAGATCTTCAACCAGCACAAAACCTCCCAGCAGGGCCTCGTGAGCAAACGCATCCCACTGCTAGACTGCAGCGCGCCTAGGGAAGAGGTAATGATGTGAGGAGGGATCATAAACACGTGTGTACTCTCAAACATGCAGGCACTAGGGGCAGAAATAGCTGTTAGGTTCATTTGTTGCAGCTTGTAATGAAGAAAAGTGACTATGAATATGCATCGTGCGCCCTCTAGTGGTTAGGAATGCTCTTCACTATTCAATGGTAATAAGATTGAATTATTTTTCACCTTTTCACAACCTCTTACATTGTATTTCATAACTTTCTTCATTGTTATTCATTAATATTGCAGATATATATATTAGATATGTAAAATTTGAGTAATAAGTCATTTTAAAGCAGTTAGATTTCGCATTATTTAGAGTTTAGAGGTAGAGTTTGTTTTTGTACCTGAACGCTGTTTTTGTGTTCTTGTTCTCAGGATTTTGATAAGCTGTTGGATGCCATGAAGAGTTCCTTGGCTGAGGACTCTCACTCAGCCTTTGTTTTTAACTGCTCCAACGGCAAAGGCAGAACCACGACCGCCATGGTTGTCTCTGTTCTGACTCTCTGGCACTTTAATGTAAGACGCTTTCCTCAGTGTCTTAATACCATTGACCTAAAAATTATCAAATGAGTGTTTTCATGATCCAAAGTAACATAAACAAACTGGTGTCCTCCACTTTGCAGGGTTTTCCAGACTTTGGTGATGATGAGTTTGTGAGTGTTCCTGACGCCAAGTACACAAAAGGAGAATTTGAGGTATGCACACTTTAAAAAAACCAACTCCTGCTTGTACACATTTGATAACAATTTCCACTTATATACATTTAGAATGAAGTGGAAACTTCTGATGTTAAAAAAAAATGAATGCTGGGAACTCCAAACATCTTTTCAGCCATTAAAAAAAAAAAAAAAAAAGATCTGCTTGTACCAGATTTACTTTTTCTGACATTTTTTAGACAAAGCAATTTATCTGTAAAATAATCTGCAGATTAATTGATAGTGTTACTGATGGCATTTCCTTCTCAGTTCCATCTGCCCTTTCAGATTCATGGTCATCACAGCGCTTAACAACCATTTACATATCAGTGCTGATACTGTGTTTGTTCTACAATAAAGTATCTGCAAGGGTGCGATAATTGGAGTGGATTATAATCTTCATCGTGATTAGTTTCACTACGGCTGAAAATAAACATATGTTTTATGTCACTTTAATCAAACTAGAAAATAAAGAAGGGCTCTGGGAAAATTGCATACTAAGAAGAAGATGCTGATGAGCTGACAATGTATCATGATCAACAGGACAATACATTTTCATTATGTTTCAACAGCTCAGCAATTACATTCATTGATTAAACAGCAGAATATTTTAATGTGAGTAAAGGGAAAATTAATTGATGCTGTTGATGGTCAAACACAAATATAAGCTGCTGTATGTATGTCTTGAAGCAGTAGTGTAAGTTACTGTATTCTCTCTACGTCGGCTCTGTGTTATTGTTGTTGCGTTTAACCGTTTTTAAACCCTTCGCTTCCCTGTTGATCAAGCTTGAATTTGTGTAGGTGGCACTTACTTCTTTGTTTGTTCAACTGTAACGTGTTTGCGGCTGCTGGGAGCGTAAGCTGCATCGACCTTTTGTGCACATTGCCCTGACTCGGTAGAACGGCAGCTCCAAGATTTCATTAGCTTAATGTAGTTGAGTCAATGAAGGCAGTGGAGAATGAGCATTTATTGAACTTGTTTGTGTTTGCTTGTGGTCAGAGGCCAATATTAGCAGGGCAGCTGTTGTCTCTTTTAATGAATCCCATCAGCTTGCTATACAACTGTTTACTAAAGGAGAACTGTATAGCTCTTTTTAGTTTTCTCAACTGCACCTGTGATTGAAAGCTTTGGGAACACAAAGCCAGAAGCCAAAGCCGCTTCTCCTCCGGTCTGAATAGTGTCTGTGAATTAGAACCGCCTGGTGTTTTTCTTGATTCAGAGTTGTGACAACGAATCAGCGGTTGGGAAACCTGCTGGCCGTGTCCTCGGCACCGTCAACACGGACACACAGAAACTGTGGCTGCACTCGGCAGGCACACAATGCCGCATGCCAATCACAGCAGAGCGGCCACTTGAGTTTCTGGGATACACTGAGCAGTTGCCCAGGAAACCTTGTCTGCCTCCAATTCAACCTCGGAGGGATGTGTGGCGTTGCCATCCCCGTTGCCTCATCTCCCAAAATGGTGTTGCTGTGCTGTGAGGTCCAGAGCATCAAGTGATGGAGGAACTGTTGTGGTGTGATATTATCCGCTTCTGGTGTGATACAGTGTTAGTTGATCCTCCGATATTTAGCGCCCGGGTAGATGAAGCGTCTCTACCTCTGTTAAGATGTCCTTAAAGGGACTAACATCAATATTTTATGTTATTTTTCTAATAACATAAAGTGAGCAACTAACTGGTGAACATAGTGGAGCATTTCGCAGCTAAAGAGCCAGATATTTCCCTCAGGAGTCCAAAAAGAGACAAAAAACAGAGACAGAAGAGAGTGAATATTGGACTGACATTCATCAGAAACATGACTCCAAATGAATGAATAAGTTAATAAACACGCAACTGTTTGCCAACAAGTTATATATCAACTTAAAAAGTGAGAATAAGTCAATTTGGTGACCAGAAACTTGTTTCTGCTGCCCCCAAGTGGCCACAAAAGGAGTGAGCTTAAAGGGATAGTTTGGATGTTTTGGTAAAGCAGAGAGGAGTATCGACTCGGGAGCAAGACGGGGGCCGCAACAAAACTTATTTTAGCCACCTCAAACAAAGGCCCACCAAAAAAAAAAGTGGATGCTGTACTTAAAATATTTTCACCCCTTTACCTTGCTGTCAGACAGCTCTTTCTGATGGAGAGCTGACGCCGTTATACCGCTCTCTGCCCCCAGCCTCCACCGAAACAACTGGCATTTTACCTCGCAGTCATTGTGTGACTTTGGTGTTGTAAAGGGTTTGATAGGCTTTGATAACATTGATTTTGTTACCATGTAAAGTCAGTCTTTGTATTAAAAGGCATGTCGTGGATTGAGACTTTCAGTAGAATACATAGTAGGAAAGAAAATAAATTGTACGTGACAGAAATCTTGAGTTTTATGCAGCCTGACACAAATTGTGTTTTTCAGAAGGACAGTGGTCAGGCATGCTGATGCTGCCGGCCTGAAACACACACTGAATGAGTAAATAGGGTTTTGCCTGCAGGCCTGTTCTGTTCTCTGATCCCGCTCTTTTGTTTTCCTCCCACGCTGCCCCTTGCTTCTTCTTCTTCTTATCAGTGTTATTATTCGTACCCAAAATAAACCAGCTGTAGAGGGGTCACCAACGAGGCTTAGTAAATTAGCTTGCAGCCGACTGCCACACAGTGCTGCGTCTTTACAGGCTGATGGAAACATTGCCCATCTCGGCGAGGTCAACACTGTAAAGTATCTCGTACCGATATTTCAATTGGGTCAGGACTGACAGGCAGTACTCTTCCAAACAAGCCCAGCAGAGTGTTGCACAAAGAGCCGATATCAACAGAGCTGTTTCCTTCAGTTCTCGTAGTATTTGCATGATTATTTTATTCTACTGGCACAAAACAAATTCAAAGTGCTTAATATAATGCACGAAAATCGTAAATAAAACATACAAAATAACACAAATTCTATGCAGGCTGTGCAATTGCTTTTGTATTGCATAAAGCATTACATTACATGTAAAGATTTAGAGATACACCGTACCCTGACAGAAGAAACGATGCTGCTTCTCCTTCTACTCGTTCAATTTTGCAGTCTTTTTGGCTTTAAACACGCTGTATAAAGAGTGTCTCCTGTTTCTGCTGCTCAGGTCGTGATGCAGCTGGTGCGTCTGCTCCCCGATGGCCACAGGATGAAGAGGGAGGTGGACATGGCCCTGGACTCCGTCAGCGAGACCATGACCCCCATGCACTACCATCTGCGCGAGATCATCATCTGCACGTACAGACAGGTAGAGCACAACTACTGTGGTATTCATGACGCGGTAGTTGAAAAAGATAGATCTTAAACGGGTAGAAGTTCACACTCAGAGAGCAATGAAAACAATAAATGCAGGGCATAAGTAGTTTTAATAAGGATTTAGATGCAGTTACACATGAGCCCCATAGATGGCGTCAAGAACTAGATGTAGGTTCCCAGAGACAGATAATGATTGTGGTGCAACATAACTTATCTCTAAAGCTCAATGGAATTCCTTTGGGTCTAAATGGAAAAGAGTGAAACAAGTCAAGAAAAGGAATGGTGGCTTGTGGGTGTTTCAGGCTTGAACTCTTCATGTTTTATTAAATGTGCCTGCTGTACAAAACACAGGGGCACGCTTTCGCAATGAGCGCTCCAACCCACCCATCTTTGGACCCATATCACTTCATCATTACTTTGACGTAGAAAAAGGGTTCAAACTGAGACTTGGATCTTTATTTGCTTTTTGTTAGCGCACATGTTTTTTGTTTTAGTTTTTTTACAGAATAACCGTTAACAATTTTACAAAGGGTGTGTTTTGCATGGAACCCACTAAGCACCATCCCATGAACGGTTCTCAAAAAACGTGTTTAATTCCCACAATTTCCACTCTTGATGCACAATTTGTATGTCAAAACGTAGACAAATTTGTCCTCTCTTACCCAACATCACTCTCTTTGCAACATGACTCAAGTTATTTTAATAGATAGCTTGAAGGTGCTTAGAGTGTTGACCAAAAGTCTAATTGATGCTGCTTGTCAACAGAGGTGATGGAAGTCTCCTGTACAGTAAACAATAGGAACACATACAATACATCTGTCTTCATTCAAGTCTCTGGTCGCTCATAGCCAAGACTTTTTGTCTGGTTGGGTTCGTTTTAGTAATTACAAAATGCAGGTACTGTGAGGAGAATCAGTAGTAATTTTTGCAAAATGAAAAAAAAAAAAACAGCTCCATATCTGAAAGGTGTTCCTGGTGAACAAAATGAGCCCGTAGTGGTTTGAAGACCTATCTGGACAAGGTCTCTCTTGATGCTGTGGCCTCTGCAGGACCACGGCTCTGTTTTAGCCATTTGTAATGCAGACTGTAATCATTGTGCCCCTGTGCACCGTCAGCCGTTCTCAGCGCGCTGGAGGCACCCGGTCCTGTCTCCACCGTATCAATGGGCCTCATTGTCCCATGAACCTTGTCTTTCGCCTATATTCTCTCTCCGTCTGTCACTCTCTGATGCCAGGCTCCAGGAAAAAGGCTCGCTCTCGGCTCACTTTCAATTCGATTAGGTATTATGCATTATATTTGCTTCAGCAGTAACAAAAAGCAATGTTGAAAAGCACGATTTTGGTTAAAAATTGGTTGTCATGTTTGCAGTTGTGGCCATTATTTCCAACAGTGACACTTACATTGGAACCTGTTGTTTTTGACCACTGGTAATGCTATGGAGCAATATTTTTACGAGTCCCTGGTTTGTTTGTATTATGCACTCCCACGAGGATGCAGGCTATACGCATTCCTGCCGCCAGTTTTGGTAAATGGTAAATGGACTGTACCTGCGCTTTTCTAATCTTCCGACTACTCAAAGCGCTTTAACCCTACATGTCAACATTCACCCATTCACACTCCTTCATACACTGGTGACAGGGGGCTACCATGCAAGGTGCCACCTGCCCATCAAGACTCTAACGAACCATTTATACACAGCCCGCGGGAGCAATTTGGGGTTAAGTGTCTTGCCAAAGGACATATCGACATGGACTAGCGGAGCTGGGGATCGAACCGCTGATTGAAGGACCTGCTCTACCACATCAGTAAAAAGCTATCCATCAGACAATCTCCAAAGTTAACCAAGTTGTAACTACCATACTTGCTTGTTTCCTTATTTGCCTCATCAGACTTCTTTGTAGCGATGTTGCTTTTTCCAGATTTCCACAATTACTTAAAGTTATCAGACAATATTATAGCCAATAGAAATTATGGCCAAAACTATAGAAATGGGACCCAAATTTGTAATCAATTAGATTGATCTTTTAACCTTGATACAGCAGACCTCAGGTTGGCACTATGTTCCCTTTTAAGCCTTCCCTTCCTGCTTGAACCAGCAGGCCAGGTGATAAACAGTGCCAGATGTTGCAAGAACCCGGCAGGCAGCAGCAGCAGACGAGAGAAGAGGGGGAAAAATTTCACCCCCAACTCTCTCTCTCTTTTTTTCTTCTCGTAGCCCTCCCCCACTGCAAAGCACCCTCCCCTCCTTTGACAGTGGTTGGAAAATGTGTCTTGGATAGAGAAAAAATATATTTACACTGGGACCCGAACCGTCCGCCAGCTCCCAGAGGGGCCTGGGAAGGAGGGGGGGGGGGTGGATTCTTCTTGAAGGGCCTGTAAATCCCTGCTGCCAACCAGGCGTGACCTCGCATTGCAGATGCGTCCTCCAGCATCAAGGCCGACGCACTGGAGAGGCTACTTCCTCTCCTCCGCTACCAGCACCTCCTCCTCCTCCTCCTCCTGTCTCTTGCACAGGAATCAGCAGCAGGGGCCTTTCTTTCCATCGTCGAGCCAGTTTGTGATTGAAGATTGCCTGAAACAATCTGAACACCCGGCTGTTTACTTTAATACCGTTCCCTTTTTGTGTTTACATCTGATCTGATCGAATCTGATATTTTCTTAACTGATACACCAACATCTTCACAATCTCTCAATTTCTCAGTTTTCTTCACAATTGCAGCTTTCCCTTTCGCCATCTTTCTAAATCATCCTAATTAATTATCAAGATATTCAATTTCCGCCAACAATTGTGTTTCTCAGCTCTGTCATACCTCGTGCTACCTTTCAGACCACCAGACAGGAGATTGCACAGTATTGTCTCAATTATCACGTCGAAGACTTCTCACTGCATGTAGAGAAAATGTGATCAAGATTGCTGGCTTCCACCCAGTCCACCAAGAATCAAAAATGTATTGCTTTTCCACCCAGGTGGTGAGAAAACTGAAACACACAGGGCAAGAGTGAATGAGCAGCAAATCGTGTGTGTGTGTGTGTGTGTGTGTCTGCGTGGATGCGTGTGTCCAAAGAAAGGCCCTCACGGTTTGGACGGGGCAGTGGAAAAATATTTTCAGAATGGTGTGTGCAGGTTTTCTTGAGGAAAGGTAGTGGACGTCTTTAGAAAAGAAGAAGCGGGAAGTTGAGGGGACCACTGCAGCACTGACAGCCAGATTAATTTTACTAACGAAGAAGAGCAAAGGATTAGAAAGAAAAAACATGAGAACAAGGTTGAAGAAAGTAAGAGGCAGTCACGCTGTAAGGTTAACAAATCTTATTGTCCACCTACTGTCCAGCTCTGCACTTTAATCTCGGCTATCTTTAACATTCTTTTGGCTCAAGGACCTTTGTGTCAAGACATTTCTTCTCATTTAGAATGACCACTTGACATAAGTGGGCCAATTACAAGGTGGAGTTGGTAAGGCCAAGGGAAATATTGGCAGGAAAATGAGCCCACCTGAAGTAGAGACAGGTTCTTCTTCTTGGCTGAAGAGTGCATTTACTTGCAGTTTCTGAAAATAGTTATTTAGACCCAGCACAGGGCGGGAGGGAGGAAAGTGGGAGAGCCAGAGGTTGTTGTTTTTCTTCATAATTTCCTGCCTCCCACACGCCAATGCCAATAACGGTATTTGCTGCGGCCGTCTACAAATTATCTTACTTTGACGGAATCCCATATGAGCAGGTGCAACCGGCTGACTGCCAGCTGCCTCTCTGTGCAATATTAGTCCAGAGAGTAGAGAGTTGTGATGCACTTGTATGTGTGTGTGTGGCAGTACACGTGGAGGTAAAGAAAGCATCTCTGGGGACTTTCCGGAGGCGGTTTGGTGAGTCGGGGGGTTACATGCAGCTGCTTACCAGTCAGTTGCTCTTCGGGAGCTCATTTATTTTTAGGGAGTTTCCACAGCTGTAAATGACTTCAAACAATACTGCAATACATCTTGTGAGAGTTTGATGTGATCACTGATGTCGAACGTGACATGATGCATTAAAGAGCTGCTCAACTCACTTCCATGGAAACCTCATATTTCTGTCGCTGATGATTTAAAAAGTATATTTAGTTGTATATTTGCAGCAGATCCTTGTGACTTTCTGAGTTGACCTAAATAAATATTTAAATGAACTGCTTCAAGGTTCTCTGCTGTCTATCAGCAGGCAAATCACCCTCTCTTTTAAATTATGAGTCAGGGGTATTTAAGGCAGAATGCAGGCAGGTTTTTGTTCCGTTTTTGTATCGTTCGAGGCAGGCAACTTTGCTGATTAGCATACCTTCAACCAAAGACGAGGAACTAATCATTAAAATCAACTGGTGCACTGCGTCATTGGAAACGACTTCACACAAAAAGAAAAAAGTTTCACAGCAACCGATTTCAACCCTCCAATCATGGTCTTATTCAGACTGCTTGTTATTCTTATTCATATTTCTGCTACCACGGCGCTTAATTGCTTCGTCGCTTCGTACCGTACAGAATATCTCCAAGTAATCATTTTTCTGTACTGGTATTTGCACAGCAGGCTCTCCAGCAGCTGACCTGATGAGATTTAAAATGGTATTTTCAACGGAACAACGCTCAAGAATCAGAACGTTGTGTACTGCGTACCTTTAGTTACTGGCTTCTCATTTTTGGTGATTCAGCCATAAAACCTGAAGGAATGAGCCATGAGTAAATAACAAACTAAATTCCAGTTGTATCAGAACTGTAAAAGTATTTTTCATTGAAAGAAGAGCTAAGAACAACACTGAAGACTTTTCTCGATTCAAAATGGTTTTTTTTTGAGAGTTTGACTGACAGATGGTTCATCCAATCAATGTGTTTATTTCACACTTTCCCTGCGGGCGTTCAGGCTCTAGTGCTCTGCCTCACTCTCTACATGCTGACCGCTTCAGAAAGCGTTGTGTATTTTTTTTACTCTTAGCCGATCCCCCTTTACCCTGAATAACTGAACTGCCCTGGCCTGCCC